CTACCTTTTTTCCCCAAAAAACAGTCTAAAATTCCCCTTCTTGCGAAGATTTTCCCTTTCAGAAAAATGTTAAATCGAAGAAAAAAACTTGTAAACAAACTTTCTTGTATAAAAATAGATCATTGTTTTGTCCAATGAAAGCTAATTATTCAATTACCCACTAGAGGGATACCTTGATTCAATACATTTGATGTTAACTCACAGCCTCGGTCTGAGTTTGCAACTTTCTAAAAGCAACATGGGAAAACCCCGCTGCACACGTGATTTTTTTACGACAATACGGCGACCGATTTACGATGTCGCAAATGTAAACAAAGTCACAGAACTAGAAGAAAATACGATTTAGTGACATTTGTAATTGTTTATTAAAAATTGGACAAATTGTTGACCTTCCGGCGACCGATTTACGATGTCGCAAATGTAAACAAAGTCACAGAACTAGAAGAAAATACGATTTAGTGACATTTGTAATTGTTTATTAAAAATTGGACAAATTGTTGACCTTCCTGTAAGTCCAAGAGAATCCAATACATGTATCCACTCGCAAGTTCATGTGTCCGAGTAGCACAACATGCCCACGTGTGGGAAATAGCGAGTCTAGCACAACAGTGCCAGTAATCACTGGTAATAGTGATACGGTGGGAACTGATACTAATGTTCCCTCTGAATCAAATCAAGAACCCTCACATGCCCTACGTAAATTTTCTATAATTACGAAAGATGAGTCAATGTATTCTTGGGCAAATATAAAGTGGCAATAAATTGATCTGTAAAAAAAATCCCTTTAATAATTACTTATGGTGGGCAGAAAGCTCCTAAAATTAGTTTGTTTTGAGGAAAATATGCAAATATATTATGATATTTCCCCTAAATGTGTGATTTAAATAAGTCTTTATTTATAGTAATAATGGTTAAACTGCCAGTGGAAAATATGATTTTTTTCCCCCAAAAGTATGAAAACCGCGCATTTTTTCCCCACAAAAAGGGCTAGGGTGCCTTCCCCAAAACTAGTGAAAAGGCCCTGAGGCCACTTCTTCCTTGACATTTAGTGATATTAAGTGGCTTAGTCTTGTCCGCATTATCATAAACCTCTGAATTCCGGAAACCTCTGAAATCCGAACTTTTTGACAAGTCCCGTGGGTGTTCGGTTTTCGGAAGTTACACTGTATGTATCATCAAATATTTAGTTCCAAATTTGTTTGCATTTTTTTCATTTTAAGTTCAAAGCCCTTAAAACTATTCAATGTTAACACAAACCATTTTTATACAATATTCAAGGCACTGAAATTATTCAGTCTTAACCTTTTGTAAATTGCATATTTGTAGCCAAAATAATGGCTACATACATTTCCACAAAAGTATGAGTGCTGAAACTGAAAATTCAATTTTTTTTTCAAACATTCAAGAAAGATAAGTTTGTCCAAAATCATTGAACCACAACCAAATTCAAACTTGAACTGCTTATTCCTAAGATGTCAAATTTGAGTTGAATGTGTACCATTGGGGAGATAATGAACGGAAACTTAAAATTTCTGATTTTTATGCCCCCACAAAGTGGGAGCATATAGCGTTGCACTTGTCCGTCAGTACGTCCGTCGGTCCGAGCAAACATTTTGGGTTTATGGGGCTATATAACAGTAAAGAGAACAATAGGTTCATTCCCTGATCAAAGGGTTTATGGGCTAGTAGCCCTTAAGAAAACAAAGAAAATAGCCCCTAAACCCAAAATGTTGGAACGTCTGTCCATACGTCCCAAAATCTTGTGAACGCAACTCTTAAACCGGATGGCAGATTTTGCTTAAACTTCCAGGGATGAACAACCTTAATGTGTAGATGGTAGTGAAGAAAGGAATTTTCGCTGCGACCAAATTTAACAGAATTTATAATGGCCCTTTGTTGATTTTTTCACTATATACTATGTAGAAATTTTGTGAATGCAACTCCTCTTAAACCAGATGGCAGATTTTACTTAAACTTTCAGGGATGAACAACCTTAATGTGTAGATGGTAGTAAAGGAAGGAATCTTTGCTGCGACCAAATTTAACAGAAATATGGCCCTTTTTTGATTTTTTCACTATATATATAGAAATTTTGTGAACGCAACTCCTCTTAAACAGGATGGCAGATTATGCTTAAACTTCCAGGGATGAACAACCTTAATGTGTAGATTGTAGTAAAGGAAGGAATTTTTGCTGCAACCAAATTTAACAGAATTATGGCCCTTTGTTGATTTTTTCACTATATACCATATATATGTTGTCAGTGGGGACATCCGTGTCATTTGGACACAGTCAGGGCTCTCAGTAGGGTCAGAATTTCACGAGTCAAAGACTCTTTGGCCAAAACTTTGCCAAAAATCATCAAACCATAACTAAATTCGAACTTGACCTGTATTTACTCATGACATATCCATAATTATGTCAAATTTGAGTTGAATGTGTGCAACTGTTACTAAGATGATGAACGGAAACTGATGATGACGGAACAGGGTAACACTATATGGCGGGGGCATAAAAAGAATGAATCTTGGATCAAAGCGAATAATAAAATGAATAATTTATCAACAATTCATAATTTCAAGATAAATCATAAACTACAAAACAATTAACTGTTGAGAAGTCTTCAGATAAGGCCACATCTTAATATTTTGGGGCAAATTCAAATACCATAGTGCACTCATAATAATAATTGTTTGAATTTCTCTGTAGAGTTTACTACAAATGCACAATTTTATGACCATTTCAGAGATATATAATTCCACTCATTGGCATGTATTTACAAGAAGAATATGCAGCAAGACAATTGTAGTCTGCTTAAGGCATTGAAAAACATTTTCAGAGTCACTGGTAAATCCAATGTGCAAGCAACATTTTTATACTCATCCTCTTAAATTCTATTTGTAATTATGAGCGGACAAGTGGAATTTTCTATCTCTGTGCTTTTGATGGGTTCAAACCGGTTAAACAGAAGACCACTGGCATGTACATAATTAATACATTTGCATGTCCCAAAAGAAAACCGGGAACCAAGCTGATATTATTTTGGGCATGTCAAAAATGCTCGCTACAGGCCGACCCCGATTATTCGACAACCTTTTATTCGAAATTAATCAAATACCTGGCATTATCCGAAGTAGATTGGCGGTCCCATTTTTATCTCTATATCAATAAATATAAATTCAATTGATTATTCTTCTAAAATGCATTATCTGAATACCTCTTATTTTTTTAAGTAAAAATTCGGTCCGGATTATACAATTATGACAATGTTTACACCTATTATTTGAACCCAGACTAATTGCCGCTGATCCACTCTGTGATCAAAACTTGTGAAAAATTTCTAACAACCATGCGTGTATTTTGACAAACGTGATATTACATGTGTTTTTAAATAGACTTTAATTACCGAACATTACTTGTATGCGAGTGATTTCTCTTAATTATTGGACGGTTAAAGTATTCAATTTAATAATTTTGATAAAAAAATGAAAGTATACAATTTAAGTAAAGAAGTAAATAAACAAGCAAACACTACCATATATTTGTATAAATTCTTTTTCTTTTTCAAAACAATGCCTATGATTAAAATTCTGCTGCACCGTGTCCAATGTGGTCAGATGACAGCGATAATTTTATGTAAACTTGCAAGTATTTATGTCTTCAGTATCAATAAAATTTAATTTTTACGCATCCTTTGTTGTTATTTATTTTTCTCGATTAATTAATGAAAATAAGTTTGTTTTTAACAGGACTTGTTATATTTGGTGTATGGCTAAAATTGAAGGAGGTTGGACTGTATATTAAATTACTGACAGGCACATTCCATTTTTGATCCCATCAACTATAGACTTAGTGTGCTTTAAATACATATGGTACAGTGTAACTTCCGAATTCCGGAACTTCTGAAATCCGGAAACTTCTAAAAACCAAACAATTTTTTTGGTCCCGATTTTTTCCCTTCTATTTTCTATTGATATAATACTTCTGAATTCCGGACGATATTTTCGTAAAATTAGAGTCAAATCAATGCAATTTTACCTCCAAAAACCGGAAATATCCAAAGGTGTGAAATACGTTGTAAATCGAAAATGTTTACCCTGCAGGAAGATTAAATCTCCCTATCGATTATTCACTAATTAGCGGTGATCGTCTAATTTGACACACGTTAAAATCACAAACTGTGAAATTTGATGCGGTTAATTAAAGTAATTTATGACGGTCAGTTAATTTGAAGTGTTTATTAGCGGATTAAATGACAATTAATTGGGACAATGTATGCATCAAAAGTCTTTAGGGATTTTATTGCATTTGATGTAATAATTAATTAACTAGCATCAGACAATATGTAAGTTTATGCAATTAACAACATTTCTACAAACTGATAGCATTTGCAGGTAAGATAAAAATGAGCAAAGTAAAACCTATTCCGATTAAGCAACATAGAAATAGATGCAAATATGTAACTAACATGCATAAACATTGTTTATTTACAATAAAAATCGTTGTATATGTATGTTTGATATAAGTATCATCATTATAAAGTATCAATAAAGTGTTAAATATAAATGTATTTTTTAATTCACATCTTTATCTTGATTAAAAGACTATTATATAATTATGATATTACAGTAATAGCCACATTTTCCTTGACATTTAGTGGCTTAGTCTTGTCCACATTATTATAAACCTCTGAATTCCGGAAACCTCTGAAATCCGAACTTTTTGACAAGTCCCATGGGTGTTCGGTTTTCAGAAGTTACACTGTACCCTAAAATATTGGCTTCAGGTTTTCAGTTTTCCTTGGCTGATATAAACATAATTATGACCTGGGATCTTCAACTTGAATCTTTGTGACAGGGAGATAACAAAATACATGTCGCTTTGTAGCAGCATTAAAAAAAGATTCTGTTTTTTACACAATTGTCAATTTGAAGATTGCCTATGTTCATTATTAAGTAATCTTGTGCCATATGGGATTACAAGGCTTCCTTATGTTTTAGGTTTCAACAGCTGTGGTTGAGCCCTACAATTCTATTTTGACTACACACACAACACTAGAACACTCTGATTGTGCCTTTATGGTGGACAATGAAGCTATCTATGACATCTGTCGTAGAAATTTAGATATTGAGAGACCAACATACACCAACTTAAACAGACTCATTGGTCAGATAGTGAGCTCAATCACTGCCTCATTACGCTTTGATGGTAAGTTTTCAGCTTATCTTGAAAAAGAATGAGCTACATGAATTAAGATCGCTATTGTACATCTTTAATATTTCTTTGAATGCATTAAATTACACATCTTTTTATATATTTTTTAGGCTCCACAGTTTCTTTCATTTGTGATAATCATAAGCAGTTGTTCTAGTTTTAACTTCTAATACGCAGAAATCATTGCTGAATTGGTAAGGTATTTTCATGCAAAAAACAGGCTTAACAGGGTTCATTAGGGTTGGGACGAGTATTCCAGTACTCGGATAATCACGAATCAAAATGAAAAACCGGGTATGAATGTTCATTCGTAAGTCCAGAGAAAGTGCTTAAATTTCAGTCCTTTTATGAAAAATAGTGCTTAAAAGTTCTTAAATTTGGTAAATTTCTCAAAAAGTGCTTAATTTTGTCTGCAAATGTGCTTGAAAATGAACAGGATGACAAGATTTGCAAGGTAAATTGTTGAAACAATCATATTACAGTAAACTTCACATATAGCGAACTTCCGGTTATAAGGAACAAAAAATTTGGGCCCGAATTTTGCCCTTCTTTATTCAATATGAAAAATTACGGTTACAGCGAACACGGTTATAAGGAATTATCGCTTATAAGGAACTATTTTTTTAGTCCCAATGCCATAAAAAGTACAGAAAATTAGACTTATAAACGAACTCCAAAATCGGCTTTCCGTAACCAAATCACGCATTTTCTACTTTCGTTTTTCATCGGCACAGATTTAAAAACTTGACCCGAATGTACCGTTTTTATTGTTGGGTATGTACTTCCCAACACAGTTAAATGAAAATGAATTTGTATAGAAATACGTGATAGGTATTTTTGAGAGCATGAGTTCTTGTCATCAAGAATAAAACGAATTAATTTCATTTTAAAATCCTATTATTTTTTTTCTTTAAAATTAATCAGCCGCGAGGAAAATAAATTATAATTATTTGCAATCGGTTTTCAACATAATTAACGTTGCTATGCTATTTCTTGAAGTAAAATCCATTGAAAGTACGCTTGGTTTGAATAAAGAGAGAATATTCTACTATTCTATCTTGAGTAAACAGTCACCCTTAACAAATACATAATGTAGAAGATTAATTCCCATTAAATAAAAGGAACACCGAGGCAAAAATCGAAATACCTCTGTTTATTCTTTATAATGGAAAAAGAAAACGAAAAAGCCTGAGTTTACAACAATGAACGAACCCAAGTAATCAAATGCTCTTTCAAAATGGAGGATAATGGTAAACAATTAGTTCGTTATATGTAAAACTGTTCGCTACAAAAACTTCTGATATAAAGAACTTATTCGCTATATGCTTACAAGGAACTCCGGATATAAGGAACAGATTTTGAATGTCCCAATGAGTTCGCTATAAGCGGAGTTTACTGTACCAATATCGATAAAAAGATTTGCTGAAGGTCAGTAACGTAACTGGGAACAAATTGCAATTGGTTTAAAATGGAGGAATTTAAAACAATTTGCAGCTAGTTATTAATAAATTATTAGTAACAAGTGATAAGTGTTCCACAAAGTGCTTAAAATAGGAAAATGTGCATAAAAAGTGCTTGAATTAAGGCATTGAATGTCTGTTTGAACCCTGGACTAGCTGACAGCATTATTTCTTGTATCTTTTATAGGTGCATTGAATGTAGATTTGACAGAATTCCAGACCAACTTGGTTCCATATCCAAGGATTCACTTTCCACTGGTCACATATGCTCCTGTCATCTCAGCTGAAAAAGCCTACCATGAACAACTGTCAGTTGCTGAAATTACCAATGCCTGTTTTGAGCCAGCTAACCAGATGGTGAAATGTGATCCCCGTCATGGCAAGTACATGGCTTGTTGTATGTTGTACAGAGGTGATGTTGTCCCTAAGGATGTCAATGCAGCCATTGCTACCATCAAGACAAAGAGGACCATCCAGTTTGTCGATTGGTGTCCTACTGGATTTAAAGTAGGCATTAACTACCAACCACCATGTGTTGTTCCAGGAGGAGATCTTGCCAAGGTCCAGCGTGCTGTTTGTATGTTAAGCAACACCACTGCAATTGCTGAAGCTTGGGCTCGTCTTGACCACAAGTTTGACTTGATGTATGCTAAACGTGCCTTTGTGCACTGGTATGTTGGTGAAGGTATGTTCTTTCTAATTGCCAAACATCTTCAAAGAAGAATTATTACATTTCTTCCTACATGTCTCTTCCGTGAAACTCGGGGTTTTGGAAATCCTATGCCTGACTTGTCCAACTCGGGGGCTTTAAGCCTGTAGTCAAGTAGATTTTTATACGCCCAGCCCCCTTTCAAAAACGGGTTTGTATTATAGGAACGCGTCTGGTGGGCGGTGTCCAGTTTTGTCTGTAGCATATCTCCTACACACGTGGGGGGATTTTATTAAAACTACATAGAAATGTTCACAACTATAAAAAAAACGGTTGCGGGTCTAGATTAAGGGTCAAGGTTGGAAAATTTTTTTTTTTTTTAAGCAAAACTTTTACATGTATTGAGGGATTTCAATACACCTTGGCACAAATGTTTACCATTGTGAGGCAAGTGTCGCTCGTAAAATTCAGGTTTGTGCAGTCAAGGTCACACAGAGGTCAAAGTTCAGATAAAAATATGAAGATTTGTATAAGGACCATTTAGTCATCATTTATTTAAAGATATGGCCAATGTTTTGTATTTTTCTATCGGCAAGTAAAGCTGCAGACAAGTAAATATTTCTGCCCAACTTGTTTGTGGGCAACTGGCAAAAATTCATATTTCCACACCCCCGAGTGAAACAAAACCTTGTCCAAGCAATAAGTTGAAAACACTGGTCTACATCTTTTTTTAGGGAAGTTGGTTGTGACCTCCCAAAATTGCTAGTTTTGACTTCTTTAAAAGTTCTTCTAGTTTTGGCAAGATTTTCAGCAGAGCACTTGCTATGCTCTTTTGCGTGAAAGTTCTTTCTCTCTGACCTGTGATTCAATTTTTATTACTTTTATACTTTGTACATTGTACAAAAACAATGATAGCTATAAATTAATAATTTTTTAAAGGTCCTATAAATTAATAATTATTTAAAGGTCCTCTATTTTCTCTGAATATTTCTTTAAGTAATCTGAAATCTAATAAGTTGACCTGCACTAACACTAGAATATATAGCATCATGCACGTTTGGAAAATTCGAGAGAAAAAATATCAGTACATGTATTTTGCAATGTGTTTAATAAGCCGACTTATAAAAACATTTAAAATATATTGCTGATTTATTGAACATTTTTATAGGTATGGAGGAAGGTGAGTTTTCAGAAGCTAGAGAAGATTTGGCAGCCTTGGAGAAGGACTATGAGGAAGTTGGAGTGGACAGTGTAGAGGGTGAGGCTGAAGAGGAAGGAGAGGAATAAACTTGAATAAATGTTGTTAAACGGACTTGTTGAAATAAAAAGTTAAAATTCTTTGTTTGTTTACATGTAGATAAAATGAGGCAGGCTATGAAAAGTCGAGGTGAAAAGCACCAAAACAAAATATCTAGGATATAGATAAAAGTTATACAATTATTGTAAGGTCAAAGGTAAATTTTTGAAGTTCTCATATGCAAACAACTTAACAAGCCCTAAATAAGCAGACAAAGCATAGTGTTCTGATTCCATTTTAAAGTGGGTAGAATGTTTTCATAACAGAGTACAAAATACTTTTGTCTCCCCCCCCCCCCCCCCCCCCCCCCCACACACACCACTTGACGGACATAAAATCTTTTAAGTTTATACTATGTACAAATAAGGGAAATCAATGACCCCCAGGGCATTTATTTGAACTGACTGGATGATGTTTCATGCCAAATATTTAAGCTCTAGCTCTTTCTGTTTTCTAAAAAGATATTTTAAGTTTTTTCTTTCAGAGTTCTGCTTGGAATTAAATTCTTTAAACAATTTTTAAAGTTGACTAGATAAAATTGGCTTAGCGGTTTATGAGATGTCATTTAAAGTAAAAGTTTACAGACACCGGACGAAAAGAGATTGCAAAAGCTCACTTTGTGACAGGTGAGCTAAAAGGGGGTGGGGGGGGGATATAGAAATTGGCTTTGTCCGTCAACACTCTTTTCCTGTCTAAAGCCATTCATCAATAACTTCCACAAATGTTTGTTATATGTGTCCTGCACAACACCGAGACTCCTGCCTCCAAGCCTTGAAGGTCACACTTGAAGATCAAAGCTTAACGTGGTCTGTTACAGAGTATAATTTGTGTGTCCATAACTTTCATAGATAAGAGGTTTTGAATTACTTTGCACATTAATAAGATGATGTGTCATGCGCAACACAAAGCTTAGCGTGGTCTGTTACAGAGTACATTTTGGGGGGGGGGGGGGGGGTCCATAATTGTGTCGCCTTGAAAAGGTGACGTATAGGGATTACTTTTCGTCAGCGTCCCTAAAGCTTGTCCGGAACATAACTCAGTCACTATAAGTCTGATTGACTTCAAACTTGTCTTCAATAACCCGAAGTGCACGTGCACAAGGACCGGTACTCTGCAGTTCTTTTTTTTGAGTTATTGCCCTTTGTTAACTTTCATACTTTAATTTTGTCCGGGCCATTTCTCTTTCAAACTAAAAAGCTATGGACTTGAAACTTCATAGGATCGATAGATCTCATTAAGAGAAAGTGCAGCTGCATTTAAGAACTGATACTCGGCATTTCTTATTTTTTGAGTTATTGCCTTTGTTGATTTCTTTTACTTTATTTTGTCCCCGGTCATTTCTCCTCAAGTATGAAAGCTATGGACTTGAAACATCATAGAATGATAGATCTTATTGATAATGAGTGCAGTGCACAGAAACTGCTGCTCTGCACTTATTAATTTTTTAGTTATTGCCCTTTGTTATTTTTCATATTTCATTTTTGTCCTGGCCATTTCTCCTAAACTACATTGTTCAAAGGGCGACACATCCGACTCGCGGAGTTCTAGTTTTTTCGAGGGTTTTGAAATTACTTGGCACACATTTTCACAATGATGTGTATGTCCTATGCAATGTCTGGACCCCTATGTCAAGTTCATGCTTGGGAGGTCAAAGCCCTGGTCTGTGACTGGGTATGATGCAAAGTCTGGCTCAAGCAAATAAATGTCATTGTTGAATTGCCCCAATACCTGTTATCGATGAAAGTTATAGACTGGACACAAAATATACCGTGTAACAGCTGTATCGATTATTTGTCACATTTTGTGGTTTTGAAATGGTGATAACAACTATACAAATGCATTTCTGTTGACACATACACAGGAGTTACTTGATGAACAATGATAATATTGATTTTTGAGTTATAAACCTTGTCACATAAGATGTGGTTGATGATAAGGACCATTAATTAAGTTGTTACCTTGAGAAAGTTCTAGTAATAATTATTGCTGTCACACCACAGATACCCCTGCATGCAGCCAAAATTTCAAATGTTATATTTTGCACAAACCATTTTTTCCATTCAAATTTCAAGGCCCTTAATTAAACTACTTGATGTTAACACAAACCATTCTTATACAAAGTTCAAGGCCTTGAAACTATTCAGTGTTAACCTTTGCATATTTTGTAGCCAAGATAATGATGATTTTAAAAATCTTTTCCAAGTTCAAGGGGGATAACTGTCAAAAAGGTCTGACCATGACCAAATTAGACTTTGACCTGTATTTCTGGTAAAATCCCCCCCCCCCCCCCCCCCCCCCCCCCCCCCCAGCACTTGCAATGTCAACCTCGGGCAGAAACTAAAATTTTTTTTTTCTAAGTTCAAGAAGGATAAAATGTCTAAATTCATCAAACCAAATTCAAACTTGACTAAAATACCTGCACATGTGATTAACCTTATACAAACATTTCCACAAAAGTCAAGAGTGCAGAATTCAAGAGGGATAACTTTGTCCAAAAACATCAACCATGACTAAATTCAAACTTTACCTGCTTATTCCTATGATGTATCTATTATATAAACTTTGAATTGAATGTGTACATATCCATAGGAATGTGTACAATTAAATGGGAGAATAATGATTTTTTTATTTGTTTGGGTTGTCAGACCAAACAAATAATGGTAGCGAAATTTCAGACTCTGATGCTGTTAATTGCAAATGCCGAAAGTAGTCCGCTTTTTTGAAGCGGTTACTTCCCTTTATATGCACACTAACGCCGAAAAATTCAAGGGAGATCACTGCGTAAAGATGGTCAAATGACAGGCGCATTAATTTTCAAGCAAAATAATTCCCGAATGGTCGAAGATTTCTAATATTGTTTTATTCTTTATAGACATACATGCTTATAGTAAGCTACATGATTATTTACATCATTCTGTGTTAAACAACAGTTAGCGTCGTTACAAACCCTTATTTACTACAATTAAAACGCTGGAAAGCATTGGTGGCACTATACAAAAACAAATTGGTTTATAATCTCACAACCTTCTCCTTTCTGACATTCTGAGACCCAAACAAATTCAGTGCCTCCTGTGCTTTGATTTTTCAAAGTTATAGGGGCGTAACTGCCAAAAATCACTGAACCATGACCAAATTCGAACTTTACCTGCGCATTCCTTTGACTTATCCATATATCAATTTGAATGTGTGCAACTGTTGTGTTGATAATGAACAGAAACTGAAAATTACTTCAATGGGCATAACTTGAAAGTCATTTGGCCTGCATTTTCTTATGTTATAACAATTTGACAAGATAATGAACAGAAACTTCAAGATGAAGATGAGTCAAAAATTTGACAATCCATCAAGTAACTAGAACTATCACTAAATGTGATTAATACCCCCACAAGACTGCTTCGGAAATGAGGATGTTATTAGTAACAGAATACCTTGTAAAAGAATTGAAATATAGAGTTATGGTTGTGGCAATTAAAGATAGTTGTGGTTCTTGTATGTTGCATTTCCTTTCAATGTGGTTGGCCATTGATGAAGTTTTATTGAATTCCAGAAAGACCAGGAAAAGTAACAAAGGGCAATAACTCTATAAATGCTGAAGATGGAGTTATAGTTCTTATGCACTGCACTTCCTCTTATTGTGCTTGACCATTGTATGAAGTTGTTTTGAATTCCAACCAGTACCTTTTTAGTTATGCTCCGGACAAGGAAAAGTATCAAAGGGCAGTAACTCTGTATTTTGTCAAAATGGAGTTATGGCTCTTGTGCACTGCACTTCCTTTTAATGTCCTTAACAGCTGTATGAAGTTGTATTGAATTCCAAACAGTAGTTTTCAAGTTATGCTCTGGACAAGGAAAAGTAACAAAGGGCAGTAACTCTGTAATTAGTCAAGATTATGGTTCTTGTGCACTGCACTTCCTCTCAATGTACTTGACCATTGTATGAAGTTATATTGAATTCCAACCATTAGTCTTCAAGTTATGCTCCGGACAAAAAAAGCAATGGAAAAGTAACAAAGTGCAATAACTCTGTAATTAGTCAAGATTGAGTTATGGTTCTTGTGCACTGCACTTCTCCTTATTGTGCTTGACCATTGTATGAGGTTGTTTTGAATTCCAACCAGTAGTTTTCATTTAATGCTCTGGACAAGGAAAAGTAACAAAGGGCAGTAACTCTGTAATAAGTCAAGATGGAGTTATGTTTCTTGAACACTGCCCTTCCGCTCAATGTGCTTGACCCTTGTATGAAGTTGTAATGAATTCCAACAATTAGTCTTCAAGTTATGGTCCCGACAAAAGAAAGCAATGGAAAAGTAAGAAAGGGCAATAACTCTGTAATTACTTTAGATAGAGTTATGGTTCTTGTGCACTGCACTTCCCCTTATTGTGTTTGACAATTGTATGAAGTTGTTTTTAATTACAACCAGTAGTTTTCAAGTTATGCCTCGGACAAGGAAAAGTAACAAAGGGCAATAACTGTGTAATTAGTCAAAATAGAGTTATGGTTCTTGTGCACTGCACTTCCTCTCAATGTGCTTGACCATTGTATGTAGTTATATTGAATTCCAACCATTAGTCTTCAAGTTATGCTCCGGACAAGGAAAATGCAACGGACGTCTGGACCACCGGGTGACTCCTATATACCCCCCCCCCCCAAACTTCGTTTTTGGGGGTATAATAAGTTATCACAGCTAAGTAGCCCCCCACCTTTCACCAGCCACTGCTTTATTGAGTAACAAAAACGATACGGGTATATGATTTGTTTGTTTGATTTCGGATTTATGTCACACTGTCACCACAGTATAGGTCATTTGGCGACGTTCCAGCTTTACTGGTGGAGGAAAACCTCAGGTGCCCCTCCATGCATTTATTCGGGCACCAGAGTAGAACCACAGACGTTTCGTAAGCTAGCTGGATAGCTTCCTCACATGAAAGAATCCAAAGACCCTGTCGGGATTCGAACCCACAGTGAGGGGCAAGTGGTACAGGTATGTGATAAATATTTTACAAACACTGTTCTGTTCCCCAACATATTTTTTTTAGTCTTAGTAAAGTGAAAGTAGGATGCTTTCATTCTTACTAAAAATCTTTAAAGTTTTTGTCCTTTGTGTATTTAGTTTAAGAAATAATATATCCCAAACAGTGATTTTATCGCTCAATAACATCACTGTTTGGAGTTCGGATGCGACGAATTATATCACGAGGGCGTAGACCGAGTGATATAATGATACGCATCCAAACGACAAACAGTGATGTTATCAAGCGATAAAATCACCGATTTGGATATATTATTTCGATTCTAACACAACATCGACAAATGAATCTGCCGTACCTGATATTAAGCAAAATTGCGTCTGATTTGTTTTCTTATTCATTTTCAGCGCCTCGGATTCTTTTAGTGGTTACGTCACATGTATAATGATTACGTCACTTATCTAAATATAGAACGTCAACTGTGACTTTGTTGCATAATAATACACACTTTCGGTTCTTCTATATTCAATAGTGAAAAATGTGGGTCGTGTTAGAATAATGAATATCATTTCCTTTCTTTCCTTACAAGTCGTAATAACAGTTGTCTTTGGCAAAGTTTTAGAAGCCTCTCTTTTAAAGTCATCTACAGTAACATAAAGTTTGTGAAGGCAGTGATTTGAGCAAATAAATCACTGAGGATTTTGGGTAGTTTAAAGGCAAACAAGAACTTGACCTCACAAAAATTGCACAAGTCACATGGTACAGACACTGTGTTACTAGTAACTACTTTGCAGATTTTTTAAGTCTGTTTAAAGTACACAAGAAATGCTTACACATTCAGACAGTTGATTAATATATCATTAAAAAATAAAGATTTAACAACTTTGCTAACTAACAAAAAGTATTTTTTATAATCTCTTATTTCCATGATAACATAACATAATAAAATATTCAGTAAATACACAAGTACTGTACATGTATTTAAAAAAAGAAGAAAAATCAAATCTCACTATTCCACATCAGTCATGCAATCTCTAGCTTTTAAAATCCAGTTTTGAAAAACATTGTACAAGTGAACAAATTTCAAATATTTTCGAAACACTTTGTAGTTAACACCATTTAATAAAGTTTATAATCCTTTATTGAAATATACAGTTGATGGTAGTGGTTTACCATATTCAGATTCTAAAACCTTCAAATCCTTTTTGTCCATACTGGCAAGTCTTGATACAGGCATTGAGCTGAAAAATAGATAATGATAGAACTGATTTCTTATTTTTTACGTCACGTGTATATAATGATTACAGTGTTTTTTTTCTTTATACAACTACTACTTAAACGGTACTGTTCCCAATAGAAAATAGACATTAAAATTTCCAATGTTTAAAATGGCTGTTCAAAATTTCCACAAGGCCAAGTGATTTCTCTGAAATCATTTAAATCCAACATATTCATATAAATCACCACACAATAGTAATCTACCTGGACAGTGGAGGCTGTTAGCTATCTTTATTTATGATGACTAATCTTATTTGTAGCTGAAAAAATGCATAAAAAAATTCACAATTTTAAGTCAAAATAATGCATTTTTTCCAAATCAGTCTGGTACCGGCACCATTCCCAAGGTAGAGAAAACAAGAACGTGTTTGTTAAACACAAATGCCCCCGGCTCAGATTCTTGTCAGTAGCAATATTTCAAAAAATGTTTACCCATTCACTCTGTTATGGACAGAAAAATTGCCAAAAAATTGTAAACACAAGTTATATAGCTTGACAAAGTCATAGCATTTTGTAATTGTCAAAAATATAAGTTGCCAAGTCATTGCTCTGACTTGTTAAGATGAAAAATATTCAACTTCATGCAAGTTATCTTTCTACCAAATATGAAATACATCTGTCATTAAATAAAGGCTATATGGGCAAAAGTGTAAAAATCTATTTTTAGCACAGGTGACCTTAACCAAACTGACCCCTAACTCTATCCAAAAGAAGAAGAATACCATGCAAGTTATCTTCCTACCAAATATGAAATACATCTGTAAATAAATAAAAGCTGTATGTTCAAAAGTTCTAAAAATCTATTTTTAGCACAAGTGACCTTGACCCACTGTTCCCTACCCCAATAAAAATGATGACCATGCAAGTTATCTTCCTACCAAATATAAAATATATCTGTCAATAAATAAAGGCTGTATGAGCAAAAGTGTAAAAATCTATTTTTAGCACTGGTGACCTTGACCTAACTCTATCCAAAAGAAGAATACCATGTAAGTTATCTTCCTACCAAATATGAAATACATCTGTCAATAAATAAAGGCTGCATGGGCAAAAGTGTAAAAATCTATTTTTAGCACTGGTGACCTTGACCCAACTGACCCCTTACTCCATCCAAAGGAAGAATACCATGCAAGTTATCTTCCTACCAAATATGAAATACATCTGTCAATAAATAAAAGCTGTATGGGCAAAAGTGTAAAAATCTATTTTTAGCACAACTGACCTTGACCCACTGATCCCTACCCAATCAAAAGGATGAATACATGCAAGTTATCTTCCTACCAAATATAAAATATATCTGTCACTTAATAAAGGCTGTATGAGCAAATGTGTAAAAATCTATTTTTAGCACTGGTGACCTTGACCCAACTGACCACTAACTCCATCAAAGTTCATGTTTCTATCAATTATAAATAGCATCTGTCTATAGAATAAGGTCAATACACCTGTAAAAATGTAAAAATCTATTTTTAACATTGGTGACCTTGACATTGGTAACATTGACCTTGACCCAAATGACCCCTTACTACACCCAAAGGAGGACCTCCTTTGGCATGACTGTTTGTATTAAACTAAAACATCAACTAAAATATAAAGGCTGTATGAGCAAAAATGTTTATATTTATTTTTTAAACCAGTGACCTTGACCCTAGAGACCGCTCACTCCACAAAAAATTAGAGGACCATCAAAGGTATCCACCTACTAAATATGAAAGATATCATTAAAGAAATTAAGCAATTAGGAGAAATTTAAGATAAATCCAACTTGCCGAAATAGGTTAACCAGACAAACCTGGCCCTATTTTCAAAGTGAAAAAAGGGAAATAACTGGGATATATGGATGACACAGTTATATAACTTGGCAATATCATGTACTTTGTATTGATAAGTAAGTGTGGAAATTATAAAGCCATTAGTATAGATAGAACTTAAGATATTTCCAACTTGCCGTAAAAGGTTAACCATTATTCATCTTCTAAGTGCTGAAAAGGGCAATAACTTGGTAAATATGAAAGCCAGAGTTATGTAACTTGCCCAGATCAAGTACTTTGTATTGATTAGTAAGTGTGTAAACTTAGAAGCCATTGGTACAGGTAGAACTTAAGAAAAATCCAACTTGCCGTTCTAGGTTAACCTCGTACGGACAGACGGACGGACGGTTCAATCACTATATGCCCGGGGGCATAAAAAACACTGTGATTATGTCACATGTCTAAAAATAGAACATCAAACTGTGATTTTATAGCATAATAACACTCATATTCGGGTCTTCTATGTTCAATGGTGGAAAATGTGGGTCGGGTTAGAATTCTTAATTAAATATAAATCTGTTTTTAAGGTGTTTACCTCTTTTGGTTGAACAGTGCACATCCTATTGGAACCATAAACAATAAACTGAAAGTTAAAAAAAGACCTAAATAAATCATCATTTAATGATGTAATTAGAAAACAATATGGTCCTGAAATACAGGACCAAAGAAGCTAGGCTATAATGGTTCATGGTCAAGAACTACTATCAAAGAATCAGTCAAATACTGTTTTAATAAAATCTACCCAGCAGTTAAGAATTAAAAAGCTACTTAGTCTCTATTGATTTTGCTCCAACTGCCATTGAATTAATTTTGCAAGGTCAAATTTTATTTTAACTCACAGACACTTTGGGTATGGAGCTTAAAACCCCTTTAAAATCCAAATAAAATGTATATTTGTCAATCCCAGCACATGTACTGATCATATATATGATCCAAGATTGCATTTGAGAAAAATGCTATGCCACCGCATGGTTCAAATTTCATAGCTGTACATCAAAGGACAAGAAAGTAGGTCACATCATCAAAATCTAGGTCAAAGTTCAATTTTACAACTAAAACTGTGCACATGGTCAAAATGTCATTGCTGTACATCAAAGGACAAGAAAGTAGGTCACTGTCCCCTTGGGCAAGGCATAATTTTGACCCAAGGGTTTAATAACAATCTTGATACAGGTCCACCAAACAACATTTCAAGTCAAATATCTAAGCTATAGCTTTCTCCCATTCAGAAAACATTTGTTTTATTTTCTGTTTTTACTATGTGTACATAATGAGAATCACTGCCCCCGGGCAGGGCCAATTTTTGACATTTGAACAACTTTGGTAGAGTATATCAAACATCAAAGCTCTATGCCTTTAACCTTCAGACAAAAATTTTTTTTTTTTACTATATGTACATAATGAAAATCAATGACCCCGGGGCGGAACCAATTTTGACTCCAGGGCTATAATTTGAACAATCTTGGTAGAGGTTCACTACACAATGTTTCATGCAAAATATCTTAACTCTATCCTTTGTAAATTTAGAGAAGATGATTTTTTAAGTTTAAACTATATACATATAAGATAAACCTATGGCTCCCAGGGGCGGGGCTAATTTTGACACATGAGGCAAAATTTGAACAACTTTGGTAGAGTACCTATTTAACAAATATTAAAGCTCTAAGCCTTGTACCTTCAGACAATAAGATTTTTTTATTTTTTGCTATATGTATATATTGAAATCAATGAAAGATTTTTTAAGTTCACTATATAATCTATATAACACACACACAAACACACAGGTGAATCGCTATATGCCACCGCATCGCAGATGCTGCGGTGGCATAAAAAACTTAATATAAGCCGTTTTGAAAATATTTCAAATTTCAACGTCTATAATAATAGACAGTGAAATTTGAAATTTTTTCAAAACGGCTTATATTAAGTTTTTTTTATGCCACCGCAGCATCTGCGATGCGGTGGCATATAGCGATTCACCTGTGTGTGTTTGTGTGTGTGTTTGTGTGTGTGTTTGTGTGTGTGTTATATAGATTATATAGTGAACTTAAAAAATCTTCTTGTGAAAAACCACTAGTCCAATTTCAACCAAACTTGGCAGGATTGTTCCTTGGGTGAAGGGCTTCCAAAGTTGTTCAAAGAATTTCATTCCATGCAGAAATCTGGTTGCTATGGCAACCAAAAGGAATTATAAGAATAAATTTAAAAAATCTTCTTGTAAAGACCCAAAAGGCCTAGAGCTTAGATATTTTACATAAGGCATTGTCTGGTAGACCTCTAACAAGATTGTTCAAATTATAGCCCTTGGGTCAAAATTGGCCCCGCCCCGAGGGTCATTGATTTTCACTATGTACATATAGTAAAAACTTAAAATACCTTTCTTGTAAAAAACCCAAAAGGCCTAGAGCTTAGATATTTTGCATAAGGCATCTTCTGGTAGACCCTTACCAAGATTGTTCAAATTATAGCCCTTGGGTCAAAATCGGCCCCGCCCCGGGGTCATTGATTTTCACTATATGTACATATAGTAAAAACTTAAAACACCTTCTTGTAAAGACCCAAAAGGCCTAGAGCTTATATATTTTGTGTGAGGCATTGTCTGGTAGACCTCTACCCAGATTGTTCAAATTATAGCCCTGGGGTCAAAATCGGCCCCGCCCCGGGGGTCATTGGTTTTCCTTATATGTATATAGTAAAAACTTGTAGTAAAAACTTCAAAAAAAATTCTTCTAGCAATTGACAAATGCTAGAGGTTAGATATTTTGCATGAAACATTGTGTAGTAAACCTCTAGCAAGATTGTTCAAATTATAGCCCTGGGGTCAAAATTGGTTCCGCCCCGGGGGTCATTGATTTTCATTATGTACATATAGTGAAAAAATAAAAAATATTTTTGTCTGAAGGTACAAGGCATAGAGCTTTGATGTTTGATATATAATATCATTTATAGGTCCTCTACCAAAGTTGTTCAAAATTTTCCCCTGGTGTCAAAATTGGCCCTGCCCGGGGGCAGTGATTCTCATTATGTACACATAGTAAAAACAGAAAATAAAACAAATGTTTTCTGAATGGGAGAAAAGCTATAGCTTAGATATTTGACTTGAAATGTTGTTTGGTGGACCTGTATCAAAATTGTTTTGAAATTAAACCCTTGGGTCAAAATTATGCCTTGCCCAAGGGGACAGTGACCTACTTTCTTGTCCTTTGATGTACAGCAATGACATTTTGACCATGTACACAGTTTTAGTTGTAAAATTGAACTTTGATATCAGGTGACCTAGATTTTGATGATGTGACCTACTTTCTTGTCCTTTGGTGTACAGCTATGAAATTTGAACCATGCGGTGGCATAGCATTTTTCTCAAATGCAATCTTGTTTATATATATGATCAGTACATGTGCTGGGATTGACAAATATACATTTTATTTGGATTTTAAAGGGGTTTTAAGCTCCACGCCCCAAGTGTCTGTGGTATTGCTAAACAGAAGAAACCTTTTCTTTTTGTACATATATCTGAATCAAAAGCTATTTAGTGAATGGAATAGACACTTTTTTGGTGTTTTCCATTCACAAATGTTAAGTTGTATAAAATGATATTTGATTTTAAGTATTTACAAAAGTATTTGCCACCAATTAATTGTCAATAGTATTTTATCCACAAAACCTAAACAGTTATAAACATGAAGCAGATTGAAGTATTTGATTTGTTAACAAGCAAAATAAAGTCTGTTACTTAAACAATGTACTTACGTCACACCAGACAAAAGAACTTGAAGTGGGGCATTAATGATTCTATATTTTTTCATCCAAGCTGTCTTCTCCAGGTGCTCCATTCCAAGAGGTAAAATCACTGCAATTATATTAAAATATCACTCTATATCAAAAACTTACCTTTTTCAGTACAAACAAATAAGAAAATACTATGCCTTCACAATATACACTATAAAATATATTTCAATCCAATACATTCCAGTTTGAATTGTATTGAAATATACTGTTTCAGACTTTGAAAACTTTTAAATGTTCAATGAAAAAGAAACATAATTGAGATTCTTTAAAAAGAACTACAAAGTGATTCATTAGAACTATGTTCTTCCATCTCATGTATGTTTATAAATCATACTTTAACAGTTTTCTCCTTTTCAAAAGATTTATATATCTGTTTTCAACAAGTGGAAAGGGCTTCATAAACAAGAGCTTACCTGAGTGAAAACTGTAAAACTTTCTTTCTATCTAATAATTATGTACAACAAAGTGCAAGGATAATTCTATGATAAAGATTTTTCCTTTGATATAAAAAAAATCCCCAAACAACCAATATTCTAATTTTATTAAAAAGAGTAGATGGTGACAAGACTTTTCCTTGATTTGAACTGGTGGCTTTTTTTCAACCTGATGTTCTACAATCAAACATGTTCAATATATCATTGAATGCTCATTTCTGTCAAAATCTACCATATGGTCAAGGAGATTTTTTGTTGAAAGAAATTGTGGATAATAGAACAGACAAAACACAATGCCTAACTGATGAAGGGCATCGTGCTATCTCACCTCTGAGCACTATAGGCTCAAGTGAGCTAACAAAAGATGCTCTATTCTTAGTAGTATAAAACAACGATGTGGATGATATAAGGAATTAAAGAGTTAACAAAGGGCTGTAATCTGATCGAAAATCCATGCATTAGTTAGGGTTTTTGGTAGTCATCTACAATTATGATTCTAAAGACATGTGCAAAGTCAGAGTTCATAATATTCAAATCAATCCCAAATTTTCATGTAAGTCGGTCATGAATTACTGCATGAAGACAACCAGCCAATGAAAATTGTGATCAAAATTATAACAAGAATACTTACACATTCCTGGTGAAGCTATCAATATACGGCTGAATGTTACAAGGCCAATTCCTTTCAGGGCAGCGTATCTGGACTGTGATACTTTCTTGTTATCCTCATCATAGACTGATACACCATCTATCAATTCACTAAAATTAAGGTTAAATAGTATACATAGATTCACTTGGTAATGTTTATTGCTAAACAAGACTTAAAAGAAAAATTTCATGACAAATTTATCTAGTTCAAACTTGCATTATTTACAACACAAAATATAATCAATAACCTTAGGAAGACTATTTATGTAAGCAGAGTGTGTTCTGTAGAAATCTTTTTCTAAACTTAAATGATATTCATATTTATTATATACTTAAAAATGAAATATTGAGAAATATTGATGAAATAAAATGCGCATTTTCATTTTCCGTATTTTCACTGTAAAAATTTATTTTTCACTGCAGTGAAACATATTTTCCGTATTTTCACTGGTGTCCTGCCGGACTTCTTTCTTTTAAATTCTGCCAGTACACAAAATTTAAGGGAAAGTCTTTTAAATTTTAATGTCAAAAAAAGAGAAAATGTATATAATAAACAGAAAATTCAAAGTTTTTTTCTATAAATACATGATTTATTTTCATCTTGTGGCATGAAAATTACAATATTTCACTCGTGGCTACCGCCACTCGTGAAATATTTATTTCCATACCACTCGATGAAAATAAATCATGTATTTATAGAAAAAACTTGAAATATCCTCTATTTATTATATACTTATAAATGAAATATTGAGAAAATATTGATGAAATAAAATGCGTATTTTCATTTTCCGTATTTTCACTGTAAAAATTATTTTTCACTGCAGTGAAACATATTTTCCGTATTTTCACTGGTGTCTTGCCGGACTACTTTCTTTTAAAATTCTACCAGTACACAAAATTTTTTAAGGGAATGTTTTTCAAATTTTATCGCAAAAAAGAGAAAAATGTACATAATAAACAGAAAATTCAAAGTTTTTTCTATAAATACATGATTTATTTTCATCTTGTGGCATGAAAATTACCAAATTTCACTCGTGGCTACCGCCACTCATGAAATATTTATTTTTATACCACTCGATGAAAATAAATCATGTATTCATAGAAAAATCTTGAATATCCTCTATTTCTGTTCTTGCTGCTTAAAACAGTTTTCTTAAGTAAAGAAAATATCATCATTTCCTATTAGATAACATCTTCCTGTACTTTTGTTCATTTGTTACTTTTAACCAGTTGCATATTATATGGCTTGGTTTAATAAAAACTGAAACTTCAGCGATATTTATATTGAAATGGAAGTCAGATTATTTTAAATTACACAATACTCTTCTCACAGAGATTCTAGAGAGACTTTTGAATTTTTTATTATTTAAGATACATTTTAATGACCATAAAAAATCATGCATCTTAAATCCATTGTTAGAAAAAAATCTCACAATAGATAAATAAATAAATATTTTTCTTTAGCAAACAAGAGGTCATCAAAGACAGTCCTTTGCTTCATAAAGGTACCTCACCTCATAAATGGTGAGTCTTTTTGGCCTGATAAGATGCATTATATTTCCCTATGTAAGGATATTTTTCAGTTTTCCTCTGATGCATGTATCTACAGTATACACCTAACTTGCTTCATATGAGGTAAAAAAGAAACATGCCTTTGCCTCATAAGTGGTATGTTCACCATGTTTGCAGCAGCAACAGCAGCAAAGGGAACAAATCTCTGCATCAAAGGTGAGGCTCTCTGAAATGTTATACATGTATTCTGTTTCATTAGAATGAAATAATGTCTTGATACTACTGTTCATGACATATATGTATACATTATAATTAATGTCTCATGAAGTCGTTCTATTTTTTTTAGGAGGTTTTTGTCACAAAAACATATTATGTCCAGGGGCGTAGCTAGGGCTTGAAAAAATATACGCAAAGCGAGGCACGAAGTGCCGAGAGGGGGAGCGTGCGGGAGGGGGTGACCCCCTCCCGCTGGTGGGGGTACGGGGGGTCTCCCCCGGAAAATTTTCAAAAATTAGATGTTAAATCGTGGGCTCTGGCATGTCTTGAAGCACCTTTTGCACGTAAAGCATGAAGCATTTTCAAGTCATTTTTCCCCATAAATTGATCTCGTTTTACTTTCTAGCTTATTTCATTATAACTTCGGACTGATTTGTAAAGAAAAAAGGCAGTGTATGCCTTATAGTTATCTTATTTTACACGTGCATATAAACATACACAAACAATTTTCCATGTGAGGTTTAATTAAGGATGCAGATCATGAAATTGGTTTATGTATGAATGTCCGTTCAATTGTAAAACGCATTTAACCAGATAACAAGTTTTTTTAGCATTTCTCATCAAATCAGTTTGGTAAAAACGGCTTTTCTCTTAAGCCTTCAGTCTTATTTATCTAAGTGTATGTATTATTTCCAAATGCACAAAAAAATTATACTCTGAGAACACTTCTATTCCATCGTAAGAAAGTAGGGAAATTACCAGATACAACGAGATATTAAATGGTCTAATGATCACTCTATAGGTCTCCTCAGGCGGTGATGAGAAAGTAACGGACTTACTCATAGATATATTTTGTTGCCCACAAAAAATATGGCCGGCTCTTGTGATGGAATTCATGTGCTCTTTTGAGTTTGTGTGCCGATTAACGACTTTTCTTGCGTTGCTCCAGTCAATCAACGGACGAGCAACAACCACATTTTCAGCCGCATTAAAGGCGAAACATGGAGCACAAAATACCCCATCAAATAAATGATGTACCTTAAGTAGATGGGTGCTTTTTTCGAGTTCTCTGAGAGGTGCAACCCAACCTGTATGTGGCTCGAACCGTTCAGTGAGGACTACATTTTCTTAGAATCTGGCATTCTTAGTCGGCTTCTGATATTAATACTTCCGATATCCAGGAATCGTGCTCCCAGGGAGCTTCTAGAGGTTGTCGAGGGGAGAAGAAGCAGGGGGAGACAAAAAGGTGAAGGTGGGCGAAGAAGAAGGGGGAAAAGGAGGCGCGACATAGTTGTCTGATTTGCTGATCACAGGAGGGTCACATGCCAGGTCTTGTGAATTCTGTTTAGTTTCTACCTGGTCAGATTCATTATCGACTTGAATGGGGTCCTGTTTTAGGACCATAAAAAGGGTCGCTTGTCCTGGAATTTGGCCTCTGTTTCTTTTCATTTTGACAACTAATTACACAACAAAAAATAAATTTTGCCCCGAGATGATGATTTTTAAAATCTTGATCTAGAACTTAAAAGATTTAAAGTCATTTTAAAATAGAGCTATTCCAAAGGAAACGATTTAGAAAGGATTGGTCTAAATCTTTAAGAAAAGTCTTAATAATCTTTATTTTCTGAGAATTTAACCAACGATAAGTTATTATGAGCCTAGTTTGTAGATAAATTAATGCTGAGCTTTTCATTTATCCCTCGGCAATAAGTTTGTAAATGCTTCGAGTTAACGAAAAACTTAAATTTCTATTGCACATATATAACGATAATTAATAGAAACGTCATACGATAGAGTGACGCAATCATAGTTTACACTTTGTAGTAAACAGTATGACGCCTGAAATGGAGATCTAAATCTATTGCGATAAAACCATTAAAACTTAGATTTTCTCTACTTTATTTTTTTACCTTCGGATTTTTTTATACGCAATTGCGTATTGTGCGTAATGGAAGCTACGCCCTTGATGTCTCCCACAACTACATGTAGTTATGGTACTGATCACTCCTGTGAAGTTTCGTTGAAATCTCACCAGCAGTTTAACCTGTGAAAACCAGACAAGATTTTTCTACTTTTAACTCTGTTGACCATTTTGTGCAGCGAAGTGGAACATGCCAGGAATACACTCAATAGCATGAAAAGAATGAATGTATTAATTATCCTCATACACAATGTAATGCCTGCTCTAGAGGAATTTATGTATAATTTACATACCTTGGCTAGGTAAGACTTCAAACCAAGTGCTGTAATTAAAGCACTTCCAGTAGCTGATACATATGCAACCCCAATCCTCCTGAAACATTTATCATAGATATCTTAATATGACATTATTAGAAAGAATTTACAAAAGGTATTTTTAATAATTTTATATAAACTTCATTGTCTTTATGTTATCTCTTTATAAAATTATAAGAAAGAACTTGCAAATTCTACATGAACTTTATTTAAAAAAGATTATAAATATCAACAATAACAGACAACAGCTTTGATGACCTGCCAGAATTTAACAAAATAAAGTTGGCCAAATGAGATGCATGTCCTAAAATAATGTCTTTATAGAATGAAACTGCGTTCTTAAGATGCTGTCATTTTGTCATGCATTATGAATGAAGTTGTGAATTTACGCTATTGTAAGAAAATAGTAATGCTTTAAATGATCAAAATGTTCATGAAAAACAAATTAATTAAGACATGGTAAAATATGCAAGAAAAATATCTGATATCTGCTACAGTACCAGCCCTTTTAATTTATTCATATTTTACTTTAGTTAACTGATAAACTTACTGTGGTGTTATCTCTGACTCGGCATTTCTATTGGTGTAGTTGACTAAAGCATTGAAAGACTGGTTAGCCCACTGCCAGAATATAACAGCTTGTGTACTCCTATAAATAAATCCAGAAACAAATTACTTGAATAATGATGTGACACTTAAAGGAAAATTAAAGCAGCAATTTGATATCCTCACTGTAAGATACAAACAAGAAGCGCCGCAATGCTACGAAAACCAGGTTTTTAACGACCAAGTTTTGATGTGACAGCAATCAATAGGTCAAAGTGCACTGAAATTATTGAGTAGAAACTGAAAATTCCATTGTAAGCAAATGACCTTCACCTTGCTTCCAGATATCCAATTAGCAATCCAAAGCTGCCACACAGCAAGTTTGGTGTCAAAAGGTCAAAGCAAACTCAAGTTTTTTATGTGAAATTGAATACATTAACCTTGATCACAGACACCCGGGTAGCAACCCAAAGCTGCCTCTTGATATAAGCTATCCATACACTAAGTTTGGGGTCAATAGGCTGAAGCAAACTCAAGTTATTGAGCAGAGTCTGAATTTCTATTTTTAGTAACAGTGACCTTGACCTTGATCACAGACACATGGGTAGCAATCCCAACCTGCGTCTTGATATAAGCTACCTACACGCCAAATTTGGTGTCAATAGGCCAAAGCAAACTAAGTTATTGAGCAGAAATTGAATTTCTTTTTTTAGTAACAGTGACCTGACCTTGATCACAGACACCTGGGTAGCAATCCCAAGCTGCCACTTGATATAAGCTACCTACACACCAAGTTTGGTGACAATATGCCAAAGCAAACTCGAGTTATTGAGCGGAAACTGAATTTCTTTTTTTTGTAACAGTGACCTTGACCTTGATCACAGACACCTGGGTAGCAATCCCAAGCTCATCGTCGGATAACCACGGCCGAACCATTAACATTTGATTGCATGTTATGTGACATGTTTATTAATCGTGGGTATCCGACGATGTCCCAAGCTGCCTCTTGATATGAGCTACCTACACACCAAATTTGGTGTCAATAGGCTGAAGCAAACTCAAGTTATTGAGCAGAAACCAAACGTTTCACAGGGATTCTTAATTTATTTACATCAAATATTTAAAGTACCTATGTTGCAGGGATTTTTTCCCAGGATTTTGGGAACATGACCCATACCCATGGAATTGGGAATTTCAGCGATGTTTTGTTAAAAATTGGGAAAAAATGCATGACTGAAATTTTGCAGTGATTAAATGAATGCAAACAATCACTGTCTAGGATTTAAACACTTATTACAGTGAAGAAGCCCTTGTTTTCAAGATTTTAGAATTCTTTATTCAATATTTTCATTTTGTAACTTTCAATTGGGGTTATTTTCCTGTGGATTGGGAAATTAATATACTAGTTTCAATTGGGAATATGACCCAATAACGGCTATAAAATAGGCAAAAAAAAATCCCTGTGTTTATTTGCAATTACATACAGTTACATATTATTCCTTCACACAGTTATGTATGTTAAGTCACAATGGTATAAAGATGGCATTTTTATTTTAATTTTCTTTGTGACTGTATTAAGAGACTCCCAGTCATATGTGACCTTTTTTTGAAGGTCCCTTGGAAAGTCACATATGACAAGTCTCGACTGTATATTGCTGAACGAAACAACAATGTTAAGTTCGAAAAAAAAGTATGTGATTTCGGATGTACCATATTTCAGATACATGTTTCAGTTGTTATTTATTTTGTTTAAAGCTTGAAAATATCAAATGATGTTGTAGAAATATAGAAAATACATGGTTGATGTCGGGATGTAGAAGTTTTATCCGCTGAGCGAGAAAGTGTATCACTTTCGCAGCGAACCGGATAAACCTTCTCCAGCCAAACATCAACCATGTATTTGATTTATCCTGCTTTTAATAATGTTTTTAGAATAATTAAATGGCTTCATTCTTCTTTTTCCCGATAAAATAGCATCTATATGTAGTTTTGTTTTGCTGCTAAACATGTGACGTCATCATATGACTTAAAGACTGGAGATAGATAAGTTTATCCGGCAAGGCTTTATCCGGCTGATGATATTGACAGTAGCAGCTTAAATGTTCATTTTCATAATTACAAGAGCGATCAGTAATCACATGTGTCGCCTCATGATGGCCAATTTTATGTTGGGACAAGTTTTGTGACAGACGGACAGACAGACGGACGGTGCACAACTAGACATGGTACTGATCATTCCTGTAAAGTTTGAATAAAATTGCACCAGTAGTTTTTGAGGAGAAGTCTGGACAAGCTTTTGTTTATCTGGCAACACACAGAAAAAAACACCTTTTTATCAAAGGGCCATAACTCAGCCAAAAATCATTCAACCTGAAAACCCGTGCAATATGCGCAAGGACTTGAGCTACAGATCAATCCTGTAAAGTTTCATTGAAATTGCATTAGTGGTATAAGAGAAGTAGTCCGGACAAACTTTAAAAATAAAAATTATTAAAGGGCCATAACTCTGACAAAAATCATTGAACCAGAAAATGCTGACAATAAGCACAAGTAGACTTGGTACTGATCATTCCTGTAAAGTTTGGATGAAATTGCACCAGTAGTTTATGAGGAGTAGTCCGGACAAGCTTTTGTGTATCTGGCAACACACAGAAAAAAAACACCTTTTAAACAAAGGGCCATAATTCGGCCAAAAATCATTCAACCGGAAAACCCGTGCAATATGCGCAAGGACTTGAGCTACAGATCAATCCTGTAAAGTTTCATTGAAATTGCATTAGTGGTATAAAAGAAGTAGTCCGGACAAACTTTAAAAATAAAAATTATTAAAGGGCCATAACTCTGACAAAAATCATTGAACCAGAAAATGCTGACAATATGCACAAGTAGACTTGGTACTGATCATTCCTGTAAAGTTTGGATGAAATTGCACCAGTAGTTTATGAGGAGTAGTCCGGACAAGTTTTGTGATGGACGGACAGACAGACGGACGGACAGACAGACGATGGAGAAGTGATCCCTATATGTCGCCACTACTCCGTAGAGGCAACACAAAAATGGAAAATTTAATTATATGTTTGCATTGTTTTAAGCACTGGTTTGTGCTTGCTTAAAAATCCCCCTATTTTTGGTCCAAATCCCCTGCTTTTTAAAGCCAAATCCCCCTATCTGGGTGGCTGGAAATATGGCATGTATGGGCCAGCCTGTACATCCTTACAGCCTGACCAGGGTCTAAACAGTTGACTGAAGTACTTCAAATTTTCATATTCACAGCTTCAAGTCCATTTAAGAAATTCAGCTAATGTAATAAAGTCATACTTGTAGAATGTAATCATGGCACCAATGAGAATCATTCCACCAGGGACATAGAAGGACATTCGACCAATCACATTCTGTAGTTCACCTGTGTCAGGATGGAAGGCAGAGAGACACATTCTCTGTGCTTGTCTCACCTGTTGTACTGTGGTGCCAACTGGTTCCTCACCTTTCCTTAAAGTATTTGAAAATACCATCATAATAATATAACAAAAGGTATGGTTTATGTTAACTATTATTATACTTTTGTATTCTGATAAGTTGTGTTACCATAATGATACTATTCCTTACAAAGTATCATTCTGTCTATTCTGTCTAACATTATATCATATTACGATTTGTTAACTTTGTTATGTTTTGATTATTACAGTAAGAATTAAAACAGGCTGTGAGGGATAACCATTGGTCATTTATTTTAAATGTATTTCTTATTGGAAACAAACTAATCACTGACAAGAACCCATAACCAAATTTTATTCAAGAAATATATCACGTGGAAGTGAAAACCCAATTAATACACCATATTAGTTTTTTTGTTTGTTTTTTTCATGTTGAATAAAAATTGATATTAATAATTGAAAAAATACCTATACTGTGAAACAAGCGTCTTAGCTTCCAGCAAGCTTTGTTTTGATGACAATGAAAGTCTAGGGTCTGTTACCCATGTAAAATATTTTAAACGCCCAATAAAAGTATTCTGATCCCATATTGGTTTATCTAAGTTGATGCGACTGTCTGCCATTTCCTAAAATAAAAGATAAACATTTCTCCTTTTAAAAGTTTATATTACAATAAAAATCTGAATGGTTTACACATAATTTTATTGAATAATTTTTTTATGTTCCCACTTTTCTTATCAAAACAAGGACCTCTGTATGATTTTCTTGAGATGTGACTTAATATGACCTAGTTTTTGACTCCATGTGACCTATATTCAAATTAAGAGATCGACCAAGAAAGACACTTGAAGTAAGTTTCAAATTGATTTGATAACAAATTGATGAACTTTGTATCTAGATGTTGTTTCCTTTTGATTTCACCTTGTGACCTAGTTTTTGACCTCCATATGACCAATGTTGAAATTTCCATGGACACAAACCATGTGTGACAAAGTTTGATGAAAATCCAATAAAAAATGTGACCTTTAGAGTGTGGATATTATCCTAAAATTATATCCCATTTTTTACTTTTGAACTTTTAGTTTGTCCTTGACATTGGATCTATCAAACTATGGAACTCCTTTTATTCAGCAACATAGTTAACTTACATGTAACTGAGATAAACATCCTAATAATATAATATTATTCAAAAATTGTATAAAATTTCCTATGATGGCCCTGCATTGTTCACCAGAATCAATGTTCCAGCAGTGTTCAAATACTTCTACCAAATTTCAGCATTGATGGTCCATTAAAGGGAGCAAATTAATGTTTTATTAGCATTCTTAGGTAAGCTCAATCAAAAGATGATACACATCAAGTGTCATTGTTACCCATCTTCTAATTAATGGAAAAAACTTGCTTAAACATACATGTACATGTAGTTAAAAATTTCTCATATAGGGAAGAAAAATTTGATTTGAATACAATTTGATCTGAGGATGCTACTGATTATTTTGATGATAATCCATCCATTGATTCGTTAAAAAAAAGCCATTAAAAGTTATGTCTAAATTTCGCCCTAAAGGGCACTAAATTACTTTAAAAGATATTATCAGATTTCATTTTTAATATCTATTTTTAGCTCCTGTGACAAACTTGTGCATCAAACCAGAACTATATATGTAACTGGTACAAATTCACAATTATAGTTCACTGAAATCAGATAACTAAATAGATTCAACTTTTAGAAATGAGCTAAATAAAAAAAAAAAAACAAAAAAAAAAAGTTATGCATCATACTTACAAACAGCAGATATGTTTATTGTCCACTAAGGTTTGAATCTAAATATCCCAACACCATTTATGTCATAACCAGATCACATACCTACTAGACTAACCTACAATGAAGATGAATATGTAAATAAAGTAAACCAGTAACAGTATTTAAATATTGCTTACTCACCTGAAAATAATAATTTCTATCTATATCAAATTTCAGCATTATCCTGTTCATTTCTTACTCCAAATTATTTTTATAGTAAATTGAAGGAAATATCACCTTACAATATAAAGATCACATCAGCAGTAACAAACTTACATATTTTTACCACTGACTTGTCACAGACAATACAGCAAACCTCCATTAGTGTTGTCTGATTACCCACCTCAAGCCACATAAACATGGAAGTTGACTGTAAAAAATTTGTCTTGGATTTTTTAGAGTCAATGCATTACTAGGAAGGAATCATGCTAGTGCAATTCCAAGGAAATTATTATCATAATTTTTAAATAAATGGAACAATTTGTCACATTAGTGCAGTAACAGGTCAAGTCCTTCTAAAATTATATTAATTAATAGGAGTTAAGCAGTTATTGCACTTAGAATTTTTTACTTTTTTTTAGTAGTCACAGTAATCTCAGTTACAGTTGTATATATCCAATTTCATTGTTTTTACTATTTATATATTAAACCATGGCAACTTGACCTTGAAGATAAAATTGTTAAAACAAAATGAGTTACAGATCCTTAAATAATCTTGACTGTCAATGTAAAATTATTGAATTTTGCTTAGATTGTCAAAATTATGTGATTAGTTAATGAATTTCATTTATAGTAAAATAAATGAATCAAACAATCTTTATGACAAACCTGGTGTGTTTAATAATTCAAACATGACCTTAACCTTTATTTGACCTTAACCCTAAAACTCGGCCTATGCCGGTTCTAAACCTGGATTCAGAAGGAGGAAGGTTGTGCGCAGGGCCAGCACCCAAGCTACATTAAAAGACATAACACACCCACAAACACACAACAACCGGATCTAAGGCATTGACAGGGAGGAGAGTGAATGTAGCAGAGAAATCTGCAAACTAGACTACTCTCCCCTAAGAAAGACTCACGGATAGGATTTTGTGAATGTACAGACTTTATACGAAACAGGAAGGGCAGATCAGCTGTCTAGAGAGATGGAAAGGTTCCACCTAGACATCATGGGTTTAAGTGAGGTAAGATGTAACAAAGCTGGAAAGATCATGCTAGCCTCTGGACAAACTCTTCTGTTTTTGGGTCCAAAGGACTACGGAGTGGGTTTGCTTCTTACAAAGACTGCCTTCAAGAGCCTGCATGAATGGGAACCCATTAAATGACCGTTTGTTAAGAGCGAAGTTTCAAATTAGTTTCCAGGAAGTCACCATTATACAATACTTATGCCCCATCCAACCAAGCAGATGACGACATAAAGGAAACTTTCTACGTCCAGCTACAGAGTGTTATAGACAGGGTCCCCAAGTGTGACATCAGACTAAGACATGAACACCAAGATTGGATGTGACAACTCTGGGAGAAAGCTCATCATTGGAAAACAGGGACTGGGAAATGGGAGAATAAAGAACTCTTCACTGACTTCTGCAGCCGAAATGATATCTAGTCATCGGAGGCACCACATTTGCCCATAAGGACATACATATGGTCACATGGACATCTCTAAACAAATCAGTGAGGAATCAGATAGACCACATCGCAATATCTCGTCTATGGAGGAAGACTCTCAGAGATGTCAGAGCTCACAGGGGAGTTGAGTTCATCATCGCAGAGCTTCAGGTCAGGATTGCAAGTATCAGGAAGCAGGGGAAAACCAAAAGTCCATCCTCCAATACATCCAAGTTAAAATCTCCATAAGCAAAACAAGAGTTCTCCATCAATCTGAAGAATAGGTTTGAAGCTCTGGCAGAGATGTAGAACAGAAATGGAATGAAAAGGACACCTGCACATCAGTCTGCAAGGAGAACCTAGGGCACCTAGACATACAAGACCTGGCTCTCAAGACAGAACCATTCAGTAGATAAAAACAAAGAGGACAGCAAGACAGAGGCTTCTTTAAGCAAGGACAAGAGAACAGAAGCAGAGAGCCCAGAGTGAATGCTATGCCATTCAGAAGGAGGTAAAGAAGAGCTGCAGGACAGACAAGAAGACAAAGTTTGACCACCTGGTACCAGATTACTCGCCAACTAGCAGGATGACTAAACAGCAGCACAAACCAGTGAAGAATAGCAGAGGAAACATCCCGTCAAAGCCAGAAGAACAGCTAAATCGGTGGATCAACTCTTCAACGCCACACAGATTAGCCTGCCACCCACTATAGAAGAGGGCCCAGATCTGGACATCAACACATGACAAGTCACCAAGCTGGAAATCACCCATGTCATCTGCAAGATGAAAAGTGGAAAATCTCCAGGACCTGACAAGATACCACCAGAGGCAAAGAAGGCATTGGCAGAAGTCACAGCACATGGGAAAAATTGCATGACTTAAATTTTCCAGTGATTAAATGAATGCAAAGAATAATTGTCTAGGATGGCATCTACCAACATTTAAACACCATAGCAGTGAAAAGTTCTTATTTTCAAAGATTTTAGAATTTGTTATTCAATATTAATTTTTTTATTTGGCACTAAGGCCCCCACGGTTACACGTTTAAACGGATTTGTTTTGATTTTCATTCCTAAACGTTTACAATATTTTTTAACATTTAATAGGAATGACCATAATATTGTCTTACAAAATATCTTAACCATTGCCTGTAATCACGGCTTTTATCAATTCCAGTTGAATTATTCCAAAGTAAAAATAAAAAATGTACCCGGTGTTTACAACCCTCCAAACAGCATCACCGTGCAATAATCACTTGTGGCATAATATATTTTTGGTAAAGTTCATTTTCCTTTGATCTTTCAAAAGAGCGAAATGGGGATACAATGCAGAAAATGTGTGCCGACTCAATCGTGATGAGCCCTGAACATTATTTATTTGTACATGTATTAAAAATAGAAAGTATGTCATCATTTGCCGACTTGAATTCATGGTGTAGTATAGTACATAGAAGTACCACCGTTTAAATGGTATCGTTTCGCTTCTTGGCAATCGTGTAAATGTTTACAAAAAACGTGGGAGTCATATTTGGCACTATGGCCTTCCCAATAAGATAGTCAACATAATTTGGAGCTTGTACAACAATCTCTGCCAGGTCATCTACGACATGGATCTCTCAGAACCTTTCAAAGTGCATACCCGTGTCAGACAAGGCTGCTTACTCTCCCCAATGATCTTCTTCATCGTTATAGACTGGGTGATGAAAAGAACCTTGGCTAGACCAAGAGGGAAACAATGGAATGGATCCTGACAAGCCAGCTGGAAGACCTTGATTACACAGATGAGGCCATCCTTAAAAAAATGTTTGTTTGCAGTAACGCGACCGACTCACAAAATTTGCCCCTACTCAAAATTTTTTTTCATGGTCTGGATAAAAAAATAATTTTTTTTAATCAGAAAATTATGCCTTGTGCTTTGTTTTCATTCTTTTAAAGGTTAATAGAAGAAATAAAATGTATGTCTTATTAAATTAGAATTCAGTTATCAATTTATTAATTGTTACCAGATTATCAAAGCATATATTGTCCAGCATTTTGAAATTCCATGTTTATTTGGGTAATCAGACAAGCCACACAAACACGAACATTTAGTAATTTAATTTAATTGCAAACGTTTCGGCTATATGCCTTCATCAGTGCAAAACATAATAAAATTACCGGAAGCGACGTCATAACGGAACACGCGTTAAACGCGCGAAAAACGTTATGGCGTTTAGCGGCAAAACTATGATAACATGTAGAAAACAAATATTTATGCTATAAATAAAGCTGGTACATGAATTAAAATGGATCAACAGTGATACAGATGTCTATTAGACAGTGTTAATAAAAATAAGATAATAGACAAACATATTAATATTCATGTAACCTATTATATAATCAAACAATACTTTATTATTTAGTCCATTTGGAATCATAGTATTTAATTTATGGATCCAAAAAGATTCTTTACATAACCGGTCCATGTTGTTTGTCTATAATTTCTATAGGTAAAATGAAAAATCTGACAATGAAACACTTATTATCGTTTGATCCGAAATGGGATCCATCATGTGAAAACTGGATTAACGTCACAAATTTCTTATATCAAATCTATGTTTATTCATTCTGCATGATACATTTTGATTAGTCTGAACCCTACGTATTGCTTTTTTACAGCCTTTACATGGTAATGAGGTAAATTAAATTACGCCGCGTAGTACAATTAACATCATTGTGTAAAATCAAAAGAACTAACCTGTTATGCTGGCTATTTAAATTGCGGAACCAACAATTATAATTTTTTACAATGTGAACATCTACTTCGCTAAACATTGGCTAGATAAAAATTGTGCGATAAGTAAACACTTCTAATAAAGATAATCTCGAATGTTTTTTAGGACGTCTATATGCTAAAATAGGTTTGAACTTTGTTATGTATATTTTTAACGCTTACCCTTATCAGACAAAAGTAATAGAATCCCAATATTTATTTAAGATTTCACCAATATTAGGCAGAGATGTATTAAAACATACAGTAAAAGGTATTATTGAACTAGTATTTTTTAACGACAGACTTAGAGCATCATTTTTGGGACATGCCTTCAATTTTAGAAAACGCTTTCTCAATAATAGATTTAGGATAATTTCTATCAGAAAAATATCTATTTAACGTATCTTAAAGACTGCTTAAAAGTACCGTCATCGGAAATGACACGTCTATAACGTTTAGCTTGGACTAAACGGGATACCACGCTTACATGATAAAGGATGAGAGGATGTAAAAATCTAAATACAAATGCATATTTGTAGGTTGCCAAAATATAATCGGTAACAATTTTTCCTGTTACGTCTTTAGATACAGAAACATCAAGAAAAGGTACCGGAACTTTTAGAAATATTGTAAGTGAATTTAATATTCGGGTGGAAACTATTTAAGGAATCTATAAAAAAGTTAAGCGTTTCCAAAGAATCATTCCAAATCATAAAAATATCATCTAGGAAACGTAACCAGACATCAGGTTTTACATAAGTAGAGTAAGAAATTGCCTCTTCTAGTCTACCCATGAATAATGAAGCATAAGAAGGTGCCATAGGGCTTCCCATTGCTGTGCCCATGGTTTGTAAATAACTCTGATCGTTAAACTCAAAGCAATTATTATGTAAAACAATATTTAACAATTTCCTTATATCATTAGCTTTTGATGTTATTGTTTCCTTTATCTTTCTTAAAAAAATATATACAAGATTCAATAACTTCATTTATGAGGGATATGTATAATGATGAAGGGTAACTAGATAGGTGTCTTTGTTTAATTTAAGATTACGAACCTTATTTTAGGAAAGTCGGTGGTATCCTTGATATGGAAGGCAAACTTTGCATATAAGGATTTAAAATAAAGTCTAGGTATTTCGCTATGTTCTCAGTACTGGAGCTACATGCTGAAAACAATGGGACGACCAGGGTATCCAAGAGGAAGTTGCTCATCATATGATTTATGCGTTTTCGGTAAAATGTAAAATTGAGGTGTACGAATAGTAGACGGGAACATGTCAAATTGTTTAGTAATGCTTACATTATTTTCCTGTATTTCATTTACACATTCTTCTATTTTTAACTTAGTCAAATTATGTTGTTCCTGAAGTGAATCGACAACTGAACGATGAGCGATATTACAAAAAAGTAGAAAAGGAACAACATAATTTGACTAAGTTAAAAATAGAAGAATGTGTAAATGAAATACAGGAAAATAATGTAAGCATTACTAAACAATTTGACATGTTCCCGTCTACTATTCGTACACCTCAATTTTACATTTTACCGAAAACGCATAAATCATATGATGAGAAACTTCCTCTTGGATACCCTGGTCGTCCCATTGTTTCAGCATGTAGCTCCAGTACTGAGAACATAGCGAAATACCTAGACTTTATTTTAAATCCTTATATGCAAAGTTTGCCTTCCTATATCAAGGATACCACCGACTTCATAAATAAGGTTCGTAATCTTAAATTAAACAAAGACACCTATCTAGTTACCCTTGATGTTTCATCATTATACACAAATATCCCTCATAATAAAGGTATTGAATCTTGTATATATTTTTTACAGAAAGATAAAGGAAACAATAACATCAAAGCTAATGATATAAGGAAATTGTTAAATATTGTTTTACATAATAATTGCTTTGAGTTTAAACGATCAGAGTTATTTACAAACCATGGGCACAGCAATGGGAAGCCCTATGGCACCTTCTTATGCTTCATTATTCATGGGTAGACTAGAAGAGCAATTTCTTAACTCTACTTATGTAAAACCTGATGTCTGGTTACGTTTCCTAGATGATATTTTTATGATTTGGAATGATTCTTTGGAAACGCTTAACTTTTTTATAGATTCCTTAAATAGTTTCCACCCGAATATTAAATTCACTTACAATATTTCTAAAAGTTCGGTACCTTTTCTTGATGTTTCTGTATCTAAAGACGTAACAGGAAAAATTGTTACCGATATATTTTGCAAACCTACAAATATGCATTTGTATTTAGATTTTACATCCTCTCATCCTTTATCATGTAAGCGTGGTATCCCGTTTAGTCAAGCTAAACGTTATAGACGTGTCATTTCGATGACGGTACTTTTAAGCAGTCTTTAGATACGTTAAATAGATATTTTTCTGATAGAAATTATCCTAAATCTATTATTGAGAAAGCGTTTTCTAAAATTGAAGGCATGTCCCAAAATGATGCTCTAAGTCCTGTCGTTAAAAATACTAGTTCAATAATACCTTTTACTGTATGTTTTAATACATCTCTGCCTAATATTGGTGAAATCTTAAATAAATATTGGGATCTATTACTTTTGTCTGATAAGGTAAGCGTTAAAAAATATACATAACCAAGTTCAAACCTATTTTAGCATATAGACGTCCTAAAAACATTCGAGATTATCTTATTAGAAGTGTTTTACTTGATCGCACATTTTTATCTAGCCAATGTTTACGAAGTAGATGTTCACATTGTAACAATATAATTGTTGGTTCCCAATTTAATAGCAGCATAACAGGTAGTTCTTTTGATTTACACAATGATGTTAATTGTACTACGCGTAATGTAATTTACCTCATTACATGTAAAGGCTGTAAAAAGCAATACGTAGGTCAGACTAATCAAAATGTATCATGCAGAATGAATAAACATAGATTTGATATAAAAATTGTCACTTAATCCAGTTTCACATGTTGCGATCCATTTCGGATCAAACGATAATAAGTGTTCATTGTCAGATTTTTCATTTTTACCTATAGAAATTATAGACAACAACATGGACCGGTTATGTAAAGAATCTTTTTGGATCCATAAATTAAATACTATGATTCCAAATGGACTAAATAATAAAGTATTGTTTGATTTATAATAGGTTACATGAATATTAATATGTTTGTCTATTATCTTATTTTTATGTTTATTTGGGAGTACAGTTCAATAAAAAAAAAAAAATCGACCTACCTACCCACTTTGAAAATTCTGGGTCGGGTTACTGCAAACAAACATTTTTTTAAGGATGGCCTGACATTAGTCTCCTGTCCCATACCTGCAACCAGATACAGACAAAAAAAGCAAGAATACAAGAAATAGCCAGAACAACCGGGCCAGAGATCCAAAAGTTTGACAAAACAAAATGCCTGAGTTAAAACCAGGAAATCACGGGTATTGACATGGAGGGCAAGGGGCCCTAGAAGACCCTTTTATTTCCTTTTTCTTTCTTTTTCAGCTTGTCAGTAAAAAACAGGAGGGGACAGGGGGAAGACATTTAAGGCTAGGATAGGAAAAGCCTGTTATGCTTTCCCTACATTAAGGGCAGTGTGGAAGAATCACAACATCCACCTGAAGACTAAGTTGAGGCTTTTCAACAGCAAAGTGAAGGCCATTCTTCTGTATGGTGCAGAAACATGGAGAAGGACCAACAACTGCAAATCTTCATTAACACATGCTTGGGGCAGATCTTTCGGATATGGTCATGGGCCAGACAGGATCTCAAACCGAGAGCTTAAGGACAGAAAAACAACCAATCACAGACTCCATCTGGTACAGAAGAAATGGAGATGGAATGGACACACCCTGCAAAGACAATAGTCCAATATAGCCAGACAAGCCCTAGATTGGAATCCTCAAGGCACCAGACGAGGAGGAAGACCCACAAACACAGGTCTAGCGCAGCACCTTAGATATAGAGCTCCGCAAAACAAGGATGTCATGGGGAGAAGCCAAGGCTAAGGCCATGGACTGTTGCAGGTACACATAGACTCATTGTAATTTGTTCCTATACCTATATGCTAAACCCTGCAGTAAAAATTTTGTGAGAAGCAAAGTCTGATTTACAGTCCGATCCTACAGAAGATTTAAAAAAACTATCATACAAATAAATCATCTGAAAATGATAACGCTAATCATATTAACAAAGTGCAATCATGAATCATACCTGTTGGTAACTGATTATAGTTATTCATCTGAGGCGAATCGTTTTGGGACGAATCGTTACATTTACAGGTGGCTCGAATAGTTTTGGGCCGAATCGAAGTTAGGTGAATCTTAATATTAGCAACAAATAGAACTGCATTCGCCAGATTTTAGGATGGTATAAATTTGAATTTGAAGCTTAACACAGTATATTATCCTTTAAAATTCAATGTCATTTCATTTAAATCATTATCTACAGAAGTTCTCCAAAATGTAGAGACTCTTCCGTTTCGGGAGGCAAATATAACCTGCACAAAACGTGACGTCACGCGTAGTTACACAAAGCCGAAATATTTTCTTAAAAATGGTAAGAAAACCAATATATTTCTATTGTATCATAATCATACGTATAAAGATATTTTTATCGTGACCATTCCTTTAATTTTCTCCTTTTATTTCAAATTCTTAAAATTCGATTAGTTATCTGTGATCAAAATAATAATGTATACATCTTTTATAGTTTCTTTTTCAATTAGTGGGTGGGGTACTTATCTATCTATCTATCTCTGGATACTGCCAACCCCTCTTACGAGTGTTACAGGCAGGTATACATTGTATACATTTAAGAAACAGCTTTAAGATACAAGGGAATCCGGGAACCAGTCCCTAGCTCTTATTGAATAGACTTCTTCTTCCGGGTAATGTGCTGGGCCCCTCTGGAGCATCGTCGCACAATTGTGACTATTTACATGAGTGAAGGGAACATCAAGTGCAGCTAAAAACAGGTTAAAAACAACATGCTCCAGAGTTACTCGTGCAGCGCACCCATCCTCGTCTTGAAGACCTCTAGGGACGGGGCTGTCATCACGACTTCTGGTAGGCTGTTCCAAAGTCGGATCCCAGAAGGAAAGAACGAGTACTTGTACGAGTTGACACTGGTAAAGGGTTGTAGGTACTTGTTGGCATGGCCTCGGGTGTGTACTCCAGCAGGGATCAGTATGTGATGGGCTCGGATATCCACCAGGCTGTTAATGACTCTGTACATCATCACTGCTTTGGTTTGCTGACGGCGGGCTTCTAGAGTGTCCCAGCTTAGAGCTTCCATCACTGCAGTGACGCTGCTGGTGTGACGATAATCACCTGTGCAGAACCTGGCTGCTCTTCGTTGGCAGTTCTCGAGCTTACTGATGTTGGCCTTGGTGTGTGGGTCCCATACTGACGAAGCATACTCGAGCTGAGGTCTTACCAATGTTTTGTAACATGTTGCCTTGATGTTCTGTGGACAGTGTGATAAGTTTCTGCGTAGAAAGGCAGTGGTGGTGTTCGCCTTCTTTGCAGTAGCGTCAATATGGCTGTTCCAGGAAAGCGTATTGTCAAGTGTGACACCCAGATACTTTGCCTTGTTCGTCTGCTTGAGTGTTTGGCCATGGATGGCATAGGACCAAGTTATCACTTTCCGCTTGTTGGTAATGCGAATCATCTCACACTTGTCAGGATTAAACATCATCAACCAGTCTTGCTCCCAGTCTTGTAGGCGGTCAAGATCCTGTTGTGTTGTAGACCCCTTGGTTCTTTTACATGCCCAGTGTATAGCACTGATACATGCGAGGATTTCCTGGATTTCTTACCAGTACACCTCTATGTAGGTGGGAAACACTGAAAGTGTCTCTGAAAAATCCCAAGGGTGTAACCCAGGATCGAACCCGGGACCTCAGGAGTGATAGTCAGTGGTTTAACCAACTGAGCTATCGCGCCACCACTTATACTCGCTTGTGCCAGATGTTTCAACTTCCGCAATACGGACCCGTACTGCTGGTCAAAAGTTCTAGCATGGCGTGAATCATGTACATCTAGTCTATACGCACTGTTGATGATTAGCCTAATTAATTGGGCGTGAACGGTTTGACCCATTTTACACATTTTTGACCCATATTAGAATCACAATACTGTCAAACCGTTTGGAAAAAGATACGCTGATCAAAAATTATCTTGATGTCTCTTTGACAAGTCTAATAAGTTGGACTATGTTGATGATAGGTAGTGATGTTCCGATTGTCGCAAGTCTCCGATAATCAGTTACTGTTATGTAAAGGCACAATAATCGATTCACAAAAATTTGTTCCGCGACGACATCGAAAATGTTTAAAGTATGAAACGGAATTAATTCTGACAGTAATTTTCTTTGCCAATCGCAAAAAAAAATCATCTCAGAGACAATTTGGAGTTGAACAGGATCAATAAGGGATGTAAACAATAGTAATATAATGTGATTTGAATGTTAATATGAAAAAGGCAAAGCCTCAAAGCGAGCTCGATGTACTTTTTACGTGAAATAGTATGAAATAATCGCTCATTTTTATTTCAAATGCAGTGACAAGTGCGTGTGACGTCACACGTACTGTGTTAAATATGGCTCCGCCCCTGTCGTGAAATGATTAACGAGTTTTGAAAACGTTGATAAAACTTTGTTTATTTTATTTCACCCTATAACTTTTCAAGCGAAATAAAGATTATTTAAATTGAAATAAATGTGAAACTTAAAACGTTTGCGACATTAAAATAGCCTACTTGATTTGTTTGTTTTGCACGTGCTGTTTGGCGCTACATTGTGACGTCACATAAACAATACTTTAAACGTCTGTACAGCGTTAACGACTGAATAAAAGATATTGGTGTTCGGATTCATTTTCTTAGTTAGACCATTTTCTTTCATTCTAGATAGTTTTCACCACAAAATTCGACAAAAAATTGTTTTTATTTATCAGATTTCAAACAAAATGGCGCCTTGGATTTTCATTTTTTATACACAGCTTCCGTTATTCTGGTTCCCTGTCCAATTATGGTTCCCATAGGCGTACGCGGGTGACCAGTCTACACATCCGTTTTCAGTCAGAATTCCTCAGTTTTTATCGCTATCTTTAAATTCGAAAGGTTGCGATGTGTCCAATTCGGTACTTTGGACGAAAGTTTTCAAAACCATCACTTAGCAGGTACTCGCGTTACCGTAAAGCTCGCTTTGCGAGCAGGCCCTTCGGGCCAGCTCGTCGAGCTCGCTATTATTTGACATCCTTTAAAAAATAAAATATATTTCGTAAAATTATGACTATGTAAGGTTAAAACTGTGTTGAAAAGTTCTAAATGAAGTTCATGTTACTGAATATAATCAAGTGCCTTGGGAAGAAATGTTACTTCCCTATTTCTTTCTACCGCGATTTTATTAGAAAAGTTATCAATTATGTCCCATCCGACTGAACCGATGATCGATTGGGACAAATTTCATCTGATTCCCATCACTAATGATAGGTGCACAGCCATTTTTCAATATTAAACAGATAACTTACTGCTATGATGAAGTCAGAAACTTAAAACGTCTAAAATTACATTTTCACTAAAATTGTTAAGTTTGCATAGTCATTATTGCTTTAGATTATTTATTTTAAAAATGCCGTACGGCTAGTCTCCACAGTGAAGAAAGGCTAGTTGTATGTGACACACATTTTTTGAACTTTGTAAATAGATAAAATTATTAAAAAAGGTATCTAATCTGGATTGGAAGTAAAATTGATTTTGCAATGCAAAAAACAACATTAGTTAAACAGTGTTTTAAATGGTAAAGGGTCGAGTCAACTCGGCCCAATAATAAAAACCTATAATATAGATTGTTTAGTTAATAAACTTTTTTAGAAGTAAATTACTAAACTTCGTCACTAAAGAATGGCCACTTAAGAATGAAAAAAGTTGGCAGCATATAATTGTTTATAATTATCTTTGTTTAGTTTTTGATTGAATTTTGTAGCAATAAAGATTTAATATTTAACATCATAATGTGACTACACCATAAAGTGTCTGTCAAATATCAGATCGACATGCTAAGCCTAAAGGACACAGACTGTTGTCACCCTGCCCTTTTTCATGTCTAGAGTAATTACTAGATGTAAACCAAATGCATAGTATTATAGAAAAGAACAGGGGCCTGGTTTTCTTGTGACAGGTTGCAAATAAGCTGAACAGAACTGTGCATTCATAAGTACCACATAAATAATATAAATTTCAAATATATCTGCAGGGACTTCTGGCGTTACTAAGAAAGCTCAAGTCTAGTAATGATAAAGAACTGCGAATATTATTGCTTGGTTTAGACAATGCTGGTAAAACTACATTACTGAAGAATTTAGCATCAGAAGAAGTAGATCATATAACACCGACACAGGTAAGCCATGTTTTACAGAAAACAAAATCCTGCATTTCTAATCATGTAATGATGCCTGTATGGTTATAAATTTTTCATCTCAAGAAATAAGTTTAAAAATAAGCATTTTTTCAATAAGGAAAGAATTCACATTAAATTTCAATCTAAAGCAAAATATAATATTGTACAGTACGGTTTTATAAGTGTTAAAAATTTATGTGTGTATATTATAATCTATAAGGACGAGGACGTGAAATATCTTAAATAAAATCAGTATGATCATAATTTACAGATGTATTGTTGTGTAATATGCCTATGAATAAGGATTATCTAAAGCAGATCTATGTCCAAAAAAAATTCATCTTTTATTTATGCAATATGTGATTTTGTTTAATATATATATATTTATATTTTAGGGATTCAATATTAAATCAGTGGTGTCTTCAGGTTTTAAGCTTAATGTATGGGATATAGGAGGACAGAGAAAAATAAGACCATACTGGAGAAATTATTTTGATAACACAGATGTCTTGGTAAGCTCATGAAACTATTTCATAGGTTAAGATAGTTACATTATTAACATGCATGAAAAAATTTTAGCCATGGATTTAATGGTGAAGATTTAGTTTAAACAGGCATGCATTTATTGTATGTCAAATGCGATAACAGTTTGATGCTTCTTTGAATCAGTCATTAGTTAGATACTTGGAACTAAACAGTATTAGTGTCATTTGAGGAAACATGATTGTGACCACAGAAGGGCTCGAGCCCATGACCCCTGCAATGAGATGCAGATACCTTAACCATTAAGTCATCATAAAACTCTTAAGATTAAAGGATTTATTGAGATGTTGTTAGTTGAGGCCAGTGTCTTCAAAGTATTTGCTCCTCACTGCTGTGGGTTAAAATCTTGCCATGTCTTTTATGTAAGGAACCTATCCTGCTAGCTAACAGAATGTTACTGATTCTAATCTGTTGCCTGCTAAAATAATGCATTGAGAGGCACCCAATTTCATCCTCCACCAGTAAAGCTGCAATGGCACGATGACCTTTTAGAGTGTGTGTCTGTGTGGCTTAAAAACCAGCCAGTTAAAATACAGAGTTTATAGATAACAACTTCTAAAACAACTGTTGTTTTCAGAGAAGTAAAAAAAGAGAGGTTATTTGTTAAGTCTTTCCATATTCAGTTCAGCTAGAGTATTGTTTGAATTTATTTTTGTTATGTTGCAGATATATGTTATAGATAGTAGTGACAGGAAAAGATTTGAAGAAACTCAAACGGTATGTTTACAATTCTTCTAAATTTATGTGTGTTTAACTTTGTTGAATTAAGGTATGTTTTGTAACATTAAATGAAAATAATGAAAAGTCAAAGAAATTTTTAATTAAATACCATCTCCATGAAGAAATGTTGAATTCTGCTAAGGTAGGACAAATAGATAAAAAAAACAACACAATTTTAAATATCATGTTTCGCTTTATTTAGCTTCCTTAGTTGATGCATAAGGGCATCTTTAATTACTGCAGTACATGGACCGACTAAATTAAATGGAGTTTTTAATACTTGTAAATTTTTCCATTTTGGCAGTCCTTGAAGGTTGCCATTTCAACCATTTTAGATCAACACATTCTGAAATAATCCAGTTAAGATATAGAAACATTCATGTAGAACAAAAACAAACTTTTTTTATATCTAATACGTAATCTTACTGGTTGACTTAGATTTAATAAATTTGATTATTAGCAAAAATTACACTCCTTTAGTAACTACTCATTAAAAGCTATATTATTTGTAATTGTTAAAAATATTCAATAAATGATACAAGGGCAATTACAAAATGGCAATATAATATATTGAATTGATTTATCTCAATGTGTTGTCATTCACTGTTACAGCAATTCAGTTTGTTACAGCTCAATTGCATAAAGCACTGGTTAATTATTAATTAGAAAGTCGCAATTATTTGAAGCTCTATCTAAAATGTCAATAATTCTTAGCAGCTCTGATCTGATAATTTTAAAAATCTTATTTATTTGATGAATTATTACTACAAACTGTCCTATCCTCAAGTTAGGTTTTGTGCCAACTGCACAGTATTGTCGGTTTTTTTCATCACAACAGTACGAAATTTGGGTTGACTGTATATTATTGTGTTACAACATACTTGTACATTAGCATTGCCTTCTTGTGGTTGTATTTTATGCAGGAATTAGATGAATTGTTAGAGGAATCTAAGTTGGCAGGTGTTCCAGTATTGATTTTTGCCAACAAACAAGATCTTGAAATGGCAGCAAGTGCAGACGAAATTTCGTCTAAACTGGGACTAACAAGTATGCGAGATCGTGACTGGCAAGTACAACCGTGTATTGCTCGTGAAGGGGAAGGAGTTAAGGTATGCTGGCTTAAATAATTATTATATCGGTTAATGAAACTATTTTAACAATATTGGAATTACCTGGTGAGCTGATTCCTAGTTATGGCTTAAACTTTGAATGTTGTTTATTGTGGTATAAAAAAGTTTGATACTGATGAAGTTTTTTTAGTCCCCTACCGGTTTACCGGAGGGGACTTTAGGTTTACCCTCCGTCCGTCTGTCCGTCCGTCCGTCCTGTCCGTCCGTCCGTCTGTCAGTCCGTCAGTCCGTCCGTCCACAAAACTGGATCCCGCGATAACTTGAAAAGTACTGAAAATATTTTTATGAAACTTGGTATATGGATAGATGGCAGTATGGAGATTATGCACGTCTTTTTCTTTTCTTCCTATGTTGAAAATTCTGGTTGCTATGGCAACAAATAGGCTGAAAATATGGCAAATTTTACACATAGACTGGATCCAGTGATAACGCAAAAAGTACTGGAAATATTTTTATGAAACTTGACATATAGGTAGATGGCAGTCTTGGGATAATGCACGTCTTTTTCTTTTCTTCCTTTGTTGAAAATTCTGGTTGCTATGGCAACAAATATGCTGAAAATATGGCAAATTTTACACATAAACTGGATCCAGTGATAACGCAAAAAGTACTGGAAATATTTTTATAAAACTTGACATATGGGTAGATGGCAGTCTTGAGATTATGCACGTCCTTTTCTTTTCTTCCTATGTTGAATATTCTGGTTGCTATGGCAACACATAGACTGAAAATTTGGCAAATTTTACACATAAACTGAATCCAGTGATAACTCAAAAAGTACTGGAAATATTTTTGTGAAACTTGACATATAGGTAGATAGCAGTCTTGAGATTATGCATGTCTTATCTGTTCTTCCTATTTTGATAAAATATCAGTTGCCTTGGCAACAAATAGGCTTAAAATATGGAAAATATAACAATATTTGTGATAAGTCAAAAAGAGCTGAAAATTTTTGTGAAATTGCATCTTTAATTCAAGAGTTATCTCCTCTTTAAGAATTTTGCTTTAAAATGTTATATTTTGGTAACAGGGATGTTTCAAATATTAACTTTAGAGTGTCCTCAGTCCGTCTGTCTGTCTGTTCATAAAAACTGTTTCCTGTGATCGCTTTTAAAGAACTTTTCCAACAAATTTACTTAAAATAGAAAAAAAATTGAAACATTAGTGAATGGCCAATGGCCCTTCAGAATGTTGATGGGGTTCTAACCGGTAGGGGACTTATGGATTGCTTGCAATACTATGATAATTGCTTGTTTCAATTAGTAATTGGCTAATTTGGTTAATTATTATAATAAGAGGATGAACTTTCATACTTTTCGGGGCATCAGCATATATACCCCCATCACCATCACAATTTCTGTTTAATCATTTTGTAACACAAAAAATTTTTAACATTTGTTTTGTAACCATCAGCCAGAGAACATTATTATCAAATTATGCCACTTTTTTAACTGTTTTAAGTAATTTAGCAGTACAGCAAAACCTCTGCAGTGCAGTACCTTTTGGGAGACAAAGACTTAAGTTGTTCTGACAGGTGTTGCTCTAGAGAGTAGAAATTATCCTTAGGGCTCACTGTGGGGGTGGGGGGGATTGATACTGTTGTTGTTAAAAGGTAATTTTAGGTGCATCCGTGGCTGGGTGGTTAAGGTCGTTGACTTCAAACCACTTTCCCCTTGCCGCTGTGGGTTCAATCCAAGGCAGACTTTGGATTCTTTCATGTGAGGAAGCTATCCAGCTAGCTTATGGAACATCGGTGGTTCTTCTCAGGTGCTCGTTCATGCCTAAAATAATGTACAGAGGGGCAGGTGAGGTCCTCCTCCAGTAAAGTTGGTAATATCGCCTTAAGACCTATATTGTATTGGTGTGACATTAAACCCAACCACAAAAAAAAAGATTATTTTGCTGCAGAGGGAAGCTCTGCAGACTAACACTCACTGTATTTTATACTGCGGCCATGAGCAGAAAACATAGTAATATTTGCTCAGCAATTTTGTTTATTGTGGCCATACTTATTGATAACAAAAGTGCTTGAATGTATTTTTTTATTGAATTTGTTTTCATGTTTTCAGGAGGGTATGCAATGGGTGATGAAAAAGGTCAACTCAAGGGGAGGAGGAAAGAAGAAATGATAGAAAAACAAATTAAAAGTCAATAACTGAAATATGTATACACATTTACTTAGCATACCATTGTTTTTTGATAATCTATGATAACATATCACAAATTGATATTGTAGTTGATTTGGATGTTGAACTTGTCAGCAAAATGTCAAACTTTGGTCTTTCTTCATAGAAAGATCTAAATTACTACACAGTGATGGGTTCAAAAGACAATTGAATTAAATGTGTTATCACAATGGGTCTTCATTTTTCAATCATTGCTCTTTAGTCATCATTATGATACATGTATTTATAAGCATCTGTCTTTAAGGTTAATTGTTTTAAAACAGTCACAAAATTGATTTTGTATTGAGGAAAAAAACTGTATCTTTGTAAGATTTCAAATGCAGTGTTAACAAATGTATTTTGAGGTTTTAAACACTAAGTAGTTTCAATAAGTCTTGCAGCTTATGCCTCTATCACTCAAAATAATTAATTTAAATGCACCTATAGGTTACACGGGTATGTTTTTAAAATGTTTTTGATTCTATAAAATACTGTAATATAATCAAATTTTAGATGCATGGCTTTTCTTTTCATTTCAAACTGTGACATCATGACAGAGTGGTTTGAAATGAATCTTGTAACATTTGATCAAAATAACATAAATAATCTAATGTCATATTTAAAAAAGACCTCAACATGCATTTGTAGCCATCTGTATTCATTAAGTGCTCTCTGCAATAGACATCCAGATCTCGGAAAATATGGGTTTTCCCCATCTAACCTGGGGTACAAACAAAACTTTACCGTTACAGCTTCATGGTGCACAACTGTTCACAAAAGAGTGACAAATGTGTATCATTTACTGTAACCACGGATCAGATGTGAAAATACCAAATACATGTATTTTTAATTCCCAGAGTAGGTCTATTATGCCTGGAGTATATACAATGTTGGACCCTTTATTTCATTATTTTAAGTTTTGTGGGGGGAAAATTGTATTTGATGATTTTTTTCTTCTTCAGAGTTTTAATGCTACATGTACATTCCAGACTTTGTTTATATGTTTGACTCCTGTTAGTTGTATAAACTAACAAATGTTAACAAAGTTGTTATGAGAAATTTGTGGAAGATAGATACTACCAGTTTTGTATAGGTTTCATAAATTGAGTCATGCATGCTTTAAGATGAAAACATGAAAATTTCACTCATTCTGTATATCTGTTGTCATATTTAATTGCTTTTTTACTTATCTACTTTATTGCGAGATGTGTATGAATTTGAATTGATTTTATAAATAAGGTATTTTGCATTTTAATTTTTCTTTGTTCATGTTTAACAATATCATTTTTGTCCACTTGAAAGCTGAAATTTTATCTGAAAAATATTGAAAAAAATCAATACATGTCCTGTAAATAAAACATGAAAATTAGTAATATAAGTAATATAGATACAAATGATTTCTATGTTATTTCTCAAGACAATCTCCCAATTTTGAAGGGATATGTTAAGGTATATTTGCTGGTGCCGTCCAAAATAACATATCAGAAAATGTTGTAAAATGTTTGTGCCTATGAAAAGTAAGAGAATGTGTTTGTGATAAGGTGCCAAAGTGTGATTTATCAATCTACAATTTGCATACTTTATCATTATTTATGACAACACCGTTGATGTTTCACTGGTGAGGACGATTGGTTTGCAATGTAACTTTTTGAAAATCTGATGCTTTTGAGTTTGCAGTATATATGAAAATAATGTATATAATAATGGGTGATAAAACTTGAAGACTTGATGTCAATTTAATAATTGTCATTGTAATTTTGTTTTGTTTTCATCAGAATATAAATAGCTAATCAGAAACTGTGGAAGGTATGGCCTAAAAAGGGCAGGTGATGTTGCTCTGTTTTAATCGCAAAATATTAGATTATAATTTAAAGAAGGGTTTTGTACTCCCAAGAGACGTATTGCATGATTACAGAACAGTTATTTATTTCTCACTATCTAGAAAGCTCAGTGATTTTTCCGTTTCTGATCAACATTTTGAAATTATGTTTTGTTGTATTAAAATATCGGTCAGACTCTCAAAGGAATTTTTTTTCCCCGTAAAAATTGCTATGATTGATTTGTTTTTATTTGCAAAATTTACATAATTGAAAATAAAATAACAACATACGATATGGAATAGATTTTTATTTATTGTTATAAATGTTCTTACAGTATATATGCTCTCTATCCGTCCATGTTGTGAAGTATATTTTCATCTATTTTTTTTTGTCTCATTCGTACATGTACCTTTATTATTGTGTTGTATAATTTACTTGTATTGCACATTTTATGATGTTAATGATTATCGCTACCTACATTTGAAATGTTTAGATATTCCCATTCTTCAGATTTTTGAAAAAACAATTATTAAGACAAAGATTTGTTTGGTTTTTTTTTTTCCCCCCTTTTTGAAAAAAATTTAAAAATTTTAAATTTTTTTTTAACTTACAGGGGGATTTTTTTTTATAACCTTAAATTTGTGGGAACACCATTTGACATACATCTGTATTGTAGAAATAATGAGAAATTTTTTGGTAAGATAAATCATTTTTGGGATAACAACACAAACATATTATTCAACTGTAAAGAGCATGTTTGATTTTGATATGAATCAGAATGTAGACTTTATTCATATAATAAACTAAAACTAACATTTCATACAAATTATCTCTATGTAATAAAAGATATTTGATTTCTGGAATTTGCCAGTGTAATTCTTTACAATCCTTTTATCAGTCTGCCAATATAGTGGTCCTCAGGTTTGGGTTGACTGTCTAGTGTTTGGGAACATCAGAAAATGATGTTGAACAACCAGTTTTTGTTATGAATTATTAAGAAACATTGCCATAGTGTTAGCTTTGGACACTATTTTTGCAGACTGAAATAGAAATATTAGACTGACCACCATAGCTGAAAAAAGTCTATAAACTTTTATTAAAGTCCACCTGTGTGCGAAGGAATGATATGAGCTGATGTAATCAATAGGTCCACAATCAATGATTGTTTTCCCTGGTAAAACAGCTTTATATTTAGCTGAGTGAATATGATGAGCAAAAAATGTTGCCCGTTTATATTGCTGTCATTACGCTTGCTAAGTTCACAAATGTCCATGAAATGTATGAAAAGAAATTGGCTTGAAGATGACTGCTAGCCCTACTCAAGACTTCAACTATTTCTGATGCTGTTTCTCACTAAGTGATTTATATTCACAAATCGGCTAAAGTAGATTGCAACTCTGCTGTATTTACATTGTAGCTTTGAATTTGTATAGCAAAGAAAAGTGGAGAGCATTTTGAAAAATAATGAAAAACTTTAATTTTGTTAAATTTTAATCCAGTGACAGAAGATACAAAATGAAATATACACAATAAATACATGTTATATTAAAGTAATAAATCTTTGAAAACAATATAACTGAAAATAAATAAAATCCATACAACATAACAAAGATATGGATTCAATTGTTAAATGTACAGTTTTGATAACTAGTTATGCTGTATTTTCTTAACTAAATGCTTTAAATCACTACATCTTCAGACAATTAAAATAAATCTTCAATCAAAAATTCAAGCTTTAGAAAAAAAACATTTATAGACTAAGGAAATGTCATGATCAGCTTTTTTTTTTCAGAAATAAGGAAACTCTAAATAATATATATCATCCTTATAAAAAATATTTGTCTATTGATTATTGTAAAAAAAATACAAAAACAAATACATTGTAATAGCATTCAGCTAAAAAAACAAAGAAAAAAACCCGAGCAAAATGTTTTTTGTCGAAATGTTTAAAGTATGTATGAAAATGATACCCTACCCAACCCATATCAAACATGCATTGGACCATATTCCTGCTTAACCTAATTCAAAATGTTCCTAAAATCCACTTAATTGAGGATCTGTTGCCTAAATTTTCTCGAAAACTTGTCAAATATTACTTTTACTGCATAGTAATGATTTATTATTCTTTGAAAATATCAGGTACCATACATGTATTTATTTAAAATTTAGCTTTCTTTAGCCAATAAATACCAGTTACAACTCTATAATTAAAATTAAACTCTTTTTATTTCCAAAAAGAATGTAAGAGATACATAAATGATATCAAAAGAATTTTTTTAACCCTACTGGGATTTAAACCCATGACCCACTATTTCAATGCAGTTGAAAGTATTTGCAGCCACTTTTTTAAACTCTTCAAAATGAAGGTAATGCACAAATCTGGGGGCTGGCTACTTTAAACATTTGTGTCTTTAGCCATTTTCTTGGGGTAAAAATGATGTAACATCGGTACTCTAAAGACTAAGCAATTACATTCATATGAGAAAAGTAAACAAAAATGTTTACATTTTTAGCTCACCTGTCACAAAGTGACAGGGTGAGCTTTTGTGATCGCTTTTCGTCCGGCGTCCGTCCGTCCGTCCGTCGTCCGTCCGTCCGTCCGTAAACTTTTGCTTTAAATGACATCTCCTCATAAACCACTGAGCCAATTTCATCCAAACTTCACAGGAATGTTCCTTTGGTGGTCACCTTTAAAAATTGTTCAAAGAATTTAATTCCATGCAGAACTCTGGTTGCCATGGCAACCGAAAGAAAAATCTTTAAATATCTTCTTTTAAACAACCCTAAGAGGCTAGAGCTTAGATATTTGGCATGAAACATCTTTTAATGAGTGTCTACCAAGTTTGTTCAAATAAAAAGCCCTGGGGTCAAAATTGGCCCCGCCCCCGGGGGGGTCATTGATTTTTTCCCTATATGCATATAGTAAAAACTTAAAAGATCTTTCTTTTAAAGAACTGTAAGAGCTAGAGCTAAGATTTTTGGCATGGAACATCTTCTAGTGAGTGTCTACCAAGTTTGTTCAAATAAAAGCCCTGGGGTCAAAATTGGCCCCGCCCCAGGGGGTCATTGATTTTCCCTATATGCATATAAAGTAAAACTTAAAAATCTTCTTTTAAAGAACCCAAAGAGCTAGAGCTTAGATATTTGGCATGAAACATCTTCTAGTGAATGTCTACCAAGTTTGTTCAAATAAAAGCCCTGGGGTCAAAATTGGCCCCGCCCTGGGGGGTAATTGATTTTCCCTATATGCATATAGTTTAAACTTAAAAAATCTTCTTTTAAAGAACCGTAAGAGCTAGAGCTTAGATATTTGGCATAAAACATCTTCTAGTAAATGTCTACCAAGTTTGTTCAAATAAAAGCCCTGGGGTCAAAATTGGCCCCGCCCCAGGGGGTCATTGATTTTCCCTATATGCATATAGTAAAAACTTAAAAAAATCTTCTTTTAAAGAACTGTAAGAGCTAAAGCTTATATATTTGGCATGAAACATCTTCTAGTGAATGTCTACCAAGTTTTGTTCAAATAAAACCCCTGGGGTCCAAAATTGGCCCCTCCCCAGGGGTCATTGATTTTCCTTATATGCATATAGTAAAAAATTATAAAAATCTTCTTTTAAAAGAACCCAAAGAGCTAGAGCTAAGATATTTAGCATGAGACATGTTCTAATGGGTGTTCTACCAAGTATTGTTCAAATAAAAGCCCTGGGGTCAAAACTGGCCCCGCCCGGGGGTCATTGATTTTCCTTATATACATAGCAAAACCTTAAAAATCTTCTTTGAAAAACCCAAATAACTAGAGTTTAGATATTAAGCATGCAAACATCTTTAAGTAAATATCTACAAAGTTTGTTTCAAATAAAAGCCCAGGGGTCAAAACTGGCCCGCCCGAGGGTGTCATTGTTTTTTACTCTATGTGTATAGTAAAACTTAAAAAATCTTCTTTTAAAAAACCCAATGAGCTAGAACTTAGATGTTTTGCATGAAACATCTTCTTATGGGTGTCTACCAAGTCTGTTCAAATAAACAAATAAAAGCCCTTGGGTAAAAATTGGGCCGGGGGGGGGGGCTATATACAGGTGAGCGACCTCAGGGCCATCATGGCCCTCTTGTTATAATGTTTATTTACAATTGCCCAGACGGAAACTAATAAATGACGGTTCTTAATCTTTGCTTGTTAACATTTATTTTTACTAAAACGTAAATAGTAAAAACATCTTCTTTGAAAAGATGTGAAATAAATAAATATGATACATGTATTAATTAGATCAGCACTAGAGTGAACAATATACAATCATACATGTAGTGAACTGATCTTAGACTCTCCTTGGTTCATCCTATCTCAATGGAGCAGTATTCTAAACATAACGATTTTATTTTAAATCGTCGAAACAGATACAAACATATGTACCTGTCCGTTGCTATCTTGCAATGTAGATATGTCAACTTAAACAGTTCCAGTACCTGTAAGTTTAAATTGTTTATTGTATTCATCTATAAAAAAGCTTAACATTAAGGTCTAGGTTGTTGTGATTGTTAAGTAACTGTTTGACTTTGTGACAAACCATTATTATTGTTGTTGTTTTCTTGGCTACCACCTATAGGTGTAGCTGATATAGGTGCTTGCTCTATCAAGAATGGTTGTGGAGCACTACCTCCACCAGCCCCACTGGGCAATTGACCAAATTTCTGCTTTCCCCCGAAAGGGCTGTTTTCCCCCACCAAAAGTTTTTTGTTTCCCCTCCAAAAGGGCTGGGTTTTCCCCCCCGAAAAAAGGTTGTCCCCACTAAAAAATGCCCCCTGCTAAAAAAATTTCCCCTACCAAAAAGGGCCTTGCCCTCCACCAAATGCCCTTTCCCTTTCTTTCTGCTGAAGGGCCTCCACTGAATGACTGCCCACCTCCAAATGACAGCCCTCCTAATGAATCACTGCCACCAGATTGACGAAATGACTGATCTCCAAATGATTGACTACCAAATGATTGACCTTGTTCAAAACCAGTATCAGCTGGCTGGCGTATTTGTCCTGATGAAAACTGACCTAAAAAATCTTGCTGACCTTGACCTCTTCCTGACATACCAACATCAAATCTTTGTTCATCAATTCTACCAAATGACCTTTGACCCTGTCCAAGGGATGTAGGAAATGAGGATGATTGACCTAAGCCTTGTTCAGGACTAAGTCTAGATGTAAAAGAGTCTGTCTGAGAGGATTGATCTCCAAAGGATGGCATGGGAGGGAAGTCTGGAAATCCCATTTGACCTTGACGACGAACATTTTGTCCAGGCATTTGCAATGATGGCCTTTGAAACCTTTGTGGGAGCTGTGTTCTCATTTGATCCCATTGTAAACGGGAGGATGGTCCAAATCTACTTCCCTCTCTTCCAATACCCTGTCTTATTCCAGTTTGAGGCTGGCCAATTAGAGAACTGACATCCAAACCTCGCGTCCTGCTTCCTCTAAATTGCGGAAGTCCCCTAGAAGCCCGTTGTGATGTTGGGGGTACGGAACCCATTCCCCCAGGCAAAGATCGGGAGCCAAGTCCACAAACTCTTTGTTGTGCCTGTGATCCAGGTGCATAAAGAGCTATATAAACAGAAAAGATGTTTTGATGATTATGCTATATTAAGCAGCTACCAAAATTCTTTATATACATTCTTTAATACATTAAAATAGAACAAGATTTTAATAGCTTAATGGAATTTATAGAGGTACTGATTCTATATTAGTAATGTCCTATAGAAAAAGCTTTTAAAATCTAAGATGTTAACTTCATCCTATTGATAACTGGTCTGTGAATATGATAACTCATTACTTACGTCTACTTTCTACGCTTCTTGCACAAACAGCTACAGGCCTTGATGCATCAAATCTCTGATAGGCTCTACACACATGGCCTGGACAGCATGGTGGAGCACCCTATAAATAGTCACAATATTCAAAGCTTTTAATAACTATTATTGTCACAACTAATTTTTAATATCATGCAGAAGTGGGCATAACAAGTATATCTATTTAATCAAGATGGTTCATAAAGGTGGAATATGCAGGCAAAGCTTATATGCTTGACAAAACAAGTGGTGTAAGGTCACAGATAACGGTAGTGAAGATACATGCATGACACAAATAATGTTAAAAGAAATCCTTCAAGGATTAACAAGAATAATGAACCAGACATAGAATTGGTCTTTAGATTTTAAAAATGGCCATTGATTCCTTTCATTTTCAGATCTGAATCCTGCATATCGTTCTTGACAATGATGAATGTTGGTGGCAAACAAATTACAAGGTTATGATGTGGACACAATTTCAGACAGACAGATGGACAGGTCTTTGGAGGCATAAAACAACTTCAATCATGCTATAAGAAAAGTTGACTTACTCTACACACTGATCTTCTGACCATTGGTTGATTTTGTAGATGGAAACTGTCACATATCCCTAACACCACCTGTAACATAATAAACTGCTGCATGAAAATGACAATACACTCGGTACTTATATATCAAAATAATAGCATTCCTCTATTACACTCCAAACACAGCATCATTAAAATCTCTAACCCCTATAATTGCTGTATCAAAAAAAAAATTTCCCCCTAACATAACCTTTAAACACTAGACTTCTGGAGGGCAATAATAATATTGTAATGCATCAAAATAACTACACTCAAAAACCGCCATATATATATTATATTTGTATCAAAATATCTTCACTCTTCCCAAGCACATTAGCTTAAATTACACGGCATGTTGCTGAATAAAGTCAATTTAACCCCAAACAAATCCTTATAGATTATTGTCTTAAGATAACCATCTGTATCATCTATATGTAATAGGCCCTTATCAGAAATAATTGAAGACTTCAACAGCTAAAAAGATCGGGTGAAGTGACTATCTCTGTCCTGACACAAATACCCCCATCCCCACTCCCTCCTTTGTCAGTATTGTATTGATACATGTACATGGGAACAATATTACCTTGAAGTATGGAAATTTATAATTCACTTAATATAGGTGTTTTCACCCTTGGTAAAATGTCATTGACAGTGAAAATTTTGTTTTCACATTTTTGTTTTCACATTTTGTCTGTTTGCTTAATGTTTAATAAGGACATGCAAACACAGTGAAATACATGTACTATGTTACAATTTACATCTCCACTACAGTTACTAGTACATACATAATGCCATATCTTTGAACAAAAGTAATTGCAATGGATGCAAAAGCTCACAAAATTCATCCCTAGGAATACATTAACTGTCTTTAACAACATACAGCACTCAAATTATAATTCAGCATTATACGCTTTTTGGCATCAGGTTGTTTTTGTCTGTTTGTGGAGGGCTAAGAGTTGTGTATAAACCTATCACAAGAAGGTCATCATCATGTAGTGATCATGACCCTAGAAACTGCTCACTTGACAACTGTTGCTACACTATGTTAACTTCTATAATGCTGAAGTTGGTTACTGGGTCATATTAAAGTTTTATTCAATATCACAGTCCAAAGCCACATGCAAAATCATAGTGAATCTCAAAAAAACGTGTAATAGCTTAGTTATTCAAATACAGGCCACAGGTTGAAGTTCCAAGTATAGAAATTTCCACTATTTTTCCACAAACAACCTTCTTGTGTGAATAGCTTAAAGAGACCAAAAGGTGCTCAACTATTCTCAGTGCTTGATAGTCAAACAAGAGTCAGGATAATGAAGAATTGACTAAGTTCAAAATCACCATAATTCTGTCAAAATTCATGTTAACAATTCTGGAACTTGAACTCCCTATTATACTCTCAAAAAAGTATGTAAAGTTTCAACCCATTCCCTTCAGTAGTTTTGGAGATGACAACTTGCATACAAAAGTGTGCCACCAATGCCTGGGCGAATACAATAGCTCTCCCTATTCTTCAAGATTTTAACAGTACAATTCTATGTAAAAGAAGTGATCCCTTGGCATGGGAATTACTAAAAGTATGGCCATGCTTTCAAAGAACTCTGTAGACCATCCAAATATGAAAACTGTTGGAGAAACAAAATTCAAGGATTTCATAAATACATGTACTCCTATGTTTAGCATCAATTGGGTCCTTTAAGAGTCCACAATTATGTTATGTTTGATAAAAGAAAGAAACAATGGCTAACTACTATCATAAGGTTTGTGCAATCAAAACAAAAATTGCTATCATGTAAAATATGCTTATTTAGGCCCTTTAAGGGGTCACAACTCTGTAATTCATGAGATTGGCCTTAATCTTTACAGAATCCAAGATCTGCTAGTGAAAAAAGCCTATGCTAGTCTGTTACCAATCAAAAATACAATGGCAATATTCCATGTTCTACTGATGATACATGGTCTGTGCAAATTTGGTTCAAATCAAAACAAGAAAAACTAATATTGCGCAAAGTGTGGGCAGACAGATGGACAGCCATTGATTCAAACTCACATGAGCACCTTGTAAACAGTTGAGCTAAAACTTGGAAGAAACTAGAAATGTGTCCATAGGACACGGATGCCCCCACACACCACTGTTCTGTCAATCTTATGACTCTAGGTCAAATATTTTTTGGACTACATGTGCCACAAGTTGAAAACTAAAAATCAACAAAGGGCCATAATTCTGTTAAACTTGGTCGCAGCAAAAATTCCTTCCTTTACTACCATCTACACATTAAGGTTGTTAATCCCTGGAAGTTTAAGCAAAATCTGCCATCCGGTTTAAGAGGAGTTGCAATCACAAAATTTTTACATAGTATATAATGAAAAAAACAACAAAGGGCCATAATTCTGTTAAATTTGGTTGCAGCGAAAATTCCTTCCTTTACTGCCATCTACACATAAAGGTTGTTCATCCTTGGAAGTTTAAGCAAAAATCTGCCATCCGGTTTAAGAGGAGTTGCATTCACAAAATTTCTATATAGTATATAGTGAAAAAATCAACAAAGGGCCATAATTCTGTAAAGTTGGTCGCAGCAAAAATTCCTTCCTTTACTACCATCTTCACCTTAAGGTTGTTCATCCCTGTAAGTTTAAGCAAAATCTGCCATGCGGTTTAAGAGGAGTTGCATTCACAAAATTTCTACATAGTATATAGTGAAAAAATCAACAAAGGGCCATAATTCTGTTTAAATTTGGTCGCAGCAAAAATTCCTTCCTTTACTACCATCTACACATTAAGGTTGTTCATCCCTGTAAGTTTGAGCAAAATCTGCCATGCGGTTTAAGAGGAGTTGCGTTCACAAAATTTCTTCATAGTATCTAGTGAAAAAATCAACAAAGGGCCATAATTCTGTTAAATTTGGTCGCAGCAAAAATTCCTTCCTTTACTACCATCTACACATTAAGGTTGTTCATCCCTGTAAGTTTAAGCAAAATCTGCCATCCGGTTTAAGAGGAGTTGCGTTCATAAGATTTCGGGACGTACGGACGGACTGACGGACGGACTGACGGACTGACACTCGGACGGACAAGTGCAACGCTATATGCTCCCACTCTGTGGGGGCATAAAAAACAAGAGCTGTCAGTTGGACAGCATGCTCAACTATTCTCAGTTCCTGATAGTAAAACAAGAGCCTGGATAATGTAGAATTTTCTAAGTTGAAAAAGGACCATTATTCAGTCAAAATCATATAAGAGTTATGAACCTTAGCCAGTGACCTTCTATGCTCTTATTTAAGTTTGTGATTTGTTTCAAGCCTTTCTCTTTAGTACTTTTGGAAATACATGTACCAACTTCAGTGCAAAAACTTAAATGTGACACCAATGCCTGGGCGAGTATAATAGCTCTCTATATTCCTTCAATAGGAAAAAGAATGAAAGAACAAAAACAATATTACAGGTATGAGCATTACAAAGTAGTTATTCACAAAACATACAATTAATTTTAAACGAATTATATTTTTATACAAAAGTAACATAATAAAAGTAACATAAGTGATACATACCATAAGAACTGATATAGATATCCACATTATTTTTCTCTACTTAACAACTTGATCAAGTTTATTAAGTCCTTAAAACAATTTATATAAATAGTTTATAGAAATAGATAAAAAGTGTGCTTTTTAAATACCAATCACAGGAAAAGAGCACATGTGTATATTATACAAAATGACAGTAAAATTGTGTCCATTCAGTTTTATCATTAAGTTATTAACTGACTAATTGGGAGTTTCCTTGTCATCACATTTAGTCATTTAGAAATTTTCAAATCGAGCATCCAATCACATTGCAGTATATGATAAACCATGAAATGTGTCATACATCCTTAATTAGTGTTTGTCTATAAATTTGTCCCTTGTCAATCATGTACCCTTGAAGTAGGAAATAAATTGCCTCTGGTAATTTATGCAGAAATATATATCGTGACTTCCATTTATTCTGTCTACAAAAATACGCACACCCTTATATTGAAAAAATATAGTTTCCTATTATTACAGCATATATAAACTTTTTTTAATGACAGAAATATTTGGTTATTGAAGGTGAATGCTACAGTACAGACATATAAGCAGAATGAAAACTGTACAAGTGAATTTATTTAAATTTTGCATGATCTTAGAATATGATAATAGAACAATTAGAGCAAAAAAAATTGGGAGTCACCAAACACATTTTTGAGTTACGCAGATGACCCCCTTTCTCTGCTTTGTTAAAAATGTTTCTATTAACATCTTTTAAAACAAGCAAAGTAAATTCTATAATACTGTTTTCATGCTGCTAATTCAATTCAACGTCATCAAAACAGACGAGGGGACAAAAGTCCACCTTGACAAACAGGGGCAATTGTCTGAGGGAGTAAATGTATGATTTCTGTGAGGGAGCTATCCAGCTAACATCAGTGGTTCTGGTGCCCGTAGGTGTCTGAAATAATACACAGAGGGTCACCCGAAGCCTTCCTTGGGGAATGAGCAAAAGCCCACTGGACATCATTCAACAGAAGAATGGCCCACTGGACAATATTCAACAGGACAATGGCCGAGTGCTCACTTTGGCAGGGAGGACAATATATCAAAATTCTTATAAAAAATATAACAATTGTTATTGTTCATACATTTTTCATTTTGAAAATTAATTTATCTGAGAAAGTATGTGATATTAATTTAAATTTTGAGGTATTGGGTTTTGACATGTGTCTGTCTTCCTTAATACTTCCTTTATATTGATGTAACATTTTCTTGAGTGCATTACATATAGAGTAAAATATTTGACAATTTTCATTGCTTTCGAAAATATAAAATATAATATTACAACATTTTACCAGTTAAAAATATCAAATTTGACTATAAGTGAAACTTGAAGTTCAGATAAATTAATTTTCAAAATGAAAAAATGTATGTACAATAATAATAATAATAATAATAATAATGGGCTTTTGTCATAGTGGACTATTGTCCTAGTAAGCTATTGTCTTGTGGGCTTTTGTCTACAGGGCTTTTGTCCTACAATTGCCTTCCTCCACCAGTGAAGCTGGAAACCAGTAAGGTGCAATATCATGTCAATATATGCAAACCAAACAACCTTTAATTATTGACATTAGTGCTATGGTTCAGATTTAAACATGCAATCATTACATTTGTTCCAAGATACTTGTGTTTACTCATAGTTCCCTGTGATGGAGGACTGAAAAAAGATAGTATCGAAAAAAATGAAGAAAAAAAATTAAAAAGAAGGAAATATCAATTTCTTCTCATTGTTTCTTTATTGTTTTTCAAAAAGTAGATAATAAGAATTTGCATTATCACAAAATTTCAAAGTAAGTTGCTGTAGAATTTATATAAACCCTTTGGCTTGACCCTCCTAGATTAATAATCTAAGATTATACCGATGTCATTTAGGTGAATGTCAGACATAATCCCCTTCGGACAAAATCCCCTTCGCCTATCCGGACAAAATCCCCTTCAGGGGTGGACATAATCCCCTTCATGTTTTTGCAAGGCTGGACAAAATCCCCTTCACTACCCGGACAAAATCCCCTTGTTTCATAGGTTTCTAATGTATTATTATGCTCCATAAAAATTGATGAATAATGTATTACTATACTCCCTAAAAATCGATGAATAATGAACTTTTGTTTTTTTATTTATAATTATGTATCAATAGTTAACCTTTATTTAGTTTAGAAGTTTTCATTAAAGTTCTTGTAAATTATCAACTGCATTATAAACACATATTTGATTAGGCAATTTCTTTAATTATTTTAAATTGATAAGTATGAAAAACATTTTTATTAGCCAATAATTGTTTCATTGATTTTATAAGTTGATAATTCTAATTGATAAATACTATCCATTGTTACAATTTCTATTGATGAAAGAGTGATAATTTAATCAAACCAAGATCACTGAACTACTTGATTGATTGTTATGAATGCTAACAAAGAAATTTTAATGTGATTAAAATGTGCTAATTGAATGTGCTTTTCTGTTGAAATAATGTAATTTCTACTTATTTTTTATACATTAAGATATTTACCACACAGCATAATGCAGTATGTCGCTCTCATACCCACTTTATAAACCGAAAATTCCTCCGAGGGGGATTTTGTCCTAGGTAGCAATTTTATGAAGGGGATTTTGTCCACTTCAAAATTTCACACATGAAGGGGATTATGTCCACCCATGGAGGGGATTATGTCCAGATATACAAAAATACATGAAGGGGATTATGTCCGTACACCCATTTAGGTATGTATGTATGTATTTTAGGCTTAATGAGGTTCCATCTGCCCTTTCTGGCACTAAGAGATGGACCCCGGACATCTCACCATTCATGTCCTTTAATGTAACTATCAACCAAAAAGGTGACCTATAAATTTTGAATTCAGTAATTCACTGAATGATACTAAATATGTATGCAAGTCGATTTATGTCATTTAGGCTTATACTACTTATTATTCATAACATGTGATGTTCTATTCAAGTTCATTCAGAAAATAAAAAATGTGAAATAAGGAAGAGTCTGACTTCAAAATTTTTTTCTTCAGTTACAATTATATATTCTACCATGATCACAACTTGCATGCATAAACGGTCATAAATTGAAACATAAAACAATACTTTCCATTGTTATTAGAAGATAATAAATATTTATGTTATAACAGCTACCCTAATTGAGATGACGAAATTAAGATGTTTGTTTCACAGGAAATGTGTGACATTTGACACATTGATTGACAGGTCAAATGTCGTTCTCCAGACATATTCATCTCCTGGCTGTCAACATGATGTAACATCAACTAGTCATAAACATTCACTATAATGAAGAAACTTCTGTAAGTGATCAGGTAGGTTAAGTTTATCTGTGTTCACAAATATTCTACCCTGTAGAGAATCTCTGACAACAATTCTACAAGTTTCTTTCAATGTCCTTACTGTTTGTAGTTTCTTCTTCAGAGTGTCTAAGATTTTATTTGTATCACCAGTCTGATGTTCTAAATGCTCAATATAATGTTTAAGGTCACGAAGGCAGGATATTCTACAAACTGGAGAACATATATCTATCAAATGTTGCAAGACAGTTATTCTTTGTCTATCTGGTGAAAACACACCATAATAATGTGTAAATCTTGTTGTGACTTTTTGGTTATCTAGAAATTTGGCTCCACCGCAAACCAGAGGTTTAACGTTAATAATGGCATCATCAGGTGTATAAGATGGGCATTTATTGATACTGGGAGAGTCTAAGATCATTTCTGCTGGAGTACAACCTGAAAATTTTCCAAATAGTTCATTATGTCAAGAAACAAACAGTAAAATTATTTAAGAAGGTAATCTAAACATATGCAATGAAATGGTTAAGGTCCATAAAAGATACCTAACTACTCAATATCTTTAAAAGAAGATGTTTTGAAAGCTTTTCTTCCATCTGTCTATGTTACAAAAGTGACCCTTAAATCAAAATGGTGTCCAGTGATATTATAAAAGTACATTTGTATTATTTTGCTTAAATTTTATAGTGTTTACAGTTGGAATTTTTTTAAAGTACATGTACAATTTCATCCATTTTTTAGCATCATTAGCTGGTAAACAGGCATTTTCTTCTGGGCATTGTAACTTCTAAGAAGATTTTTTTAGACATATTTATCATGTAAATCTATGTAACCTATAAAAAGAATCATTTTTTGTGAAATATTACAAAATCTGACCAAAAGATTTTGACCGGTAGATTTTTAAAGTTTTCCCTGCAGTTGCTAAAATTTGTAATGTATATGATTTTCTTAACAACTTTGAAGGTTTGATGTTGGTGATTTTTTTTTTCTAATACTGAAAATTGTTTCCAACTTCAACAAAATGTACGTGATATTATACTAATTTTTACAAGATATTCATTAAAGACAGTTGGTGGATAGGTTCATTCATGGATGGACTTAAACAACTCCTACCACATTTTTCATAACTTTCAAAAAAGTAATATCCTCAAATGCCCTTGTTTATATTTTGAGGGAAAATGGATAAAAGCCCTACCATACAAGAATGACAAGGACAAAAGCCCTCCCAAGAAATTAATTGTCAGACTAAGGCCCCCACCACTTTTTGACAGGTTGGTTTAGAAAAATATTAATCAAATTAATTAATCAGAGGATTGGATGAAATAAACATGGAAACTGAAAGTTTTTAACAACATTCATCTCAAAATCGAATAAATCTAGAAAATCTTTTATAGATCTGCCTTTTTTTTTTATCATAATTCACATACATTTCAAATATTTATTGCTTTTAAAGGGACTCCACAGAGGTTTTTTGACCTGATGGGACTGAAAATATTTTTCAAGGTAAATGTACCATTTGATGTAGGTTTAGACCACTAATCTTTGTGCAAAATTTCAGATCATTCGCGCACTTCGTTTTTCCAGAATAATTATTCAAATTGTAAAAAAAATTACCCAAAATGAAAAGCGTTTAAACGCTTTTTACTCAAATCGGGATAAGAAAAACATAAAAATACATTTTCAATTTATTTCAAAGTATATTTCTTAAATATCTTTGCATATATTTCTGTTTAAAGTGTCCCAGCTCATTTATGTAAGAAATTTAGATGTTACCAAGACCCCTCCAATTGCGGGAAACAGAACCTTTTGGACTTTCATACCCTCAGCAAAAAGAGGTGGCAAATGTCCAAGAGGGCAAAAGTCCTAGCATCGGCTCAAACACTGAGATCTGGACATGTTTCCTGCCATTTGGTGCAGAAACAAAACTACCACATACAATGTCAATACAGGCAAAAGGTTATGACCTGGTTTGTTTCTCCCTATATTAGACTGTCTGAAAACAAGATTGCAGGACTTCAAATTGAACAATATACATACCTAGAAGATCAGGTACATTAGCATCAGCACCTGCATTGAGTAGCATGTAGATTAACTGTGCCCTCCTATCATGACTGTTACTACAGGCACCATGTAATGCTGAAATATTAAGATTTATAAAACTTTATCACAGAGCTTTAATATTGCACAGAGATAAATATAAACTTAAACAAGATATGTTTGTAAAACATGTATGCCCCCTATCAGCAGCCAATTAGTCATGTTATCAAGTTATTATGCATGACTTCTGACCCAGTGAACAAACAATTAATAAGGGTTATCTAGTATCTACTGGTCATGACTAGTCACAAGGTAATAATTATTGTGACCCCATAAGTTGTGTGCAGCAATTTAAGTTATTACAAATCTTGCATAAATTTTATGAATCATGTAGGCCTCATTAATGACAGCCAAGTTGTTATATTACATAAGACCTTCAAATGTGTATACCAAAAGCATTTTTAGTTTAATATAAAAATATCAACCAAGGCAACTCGAGTTGTTGAGTTATTGGTCAGAAACCATCATTAAATACAAGGTCAATATGACATTGACCCCTTGACCCCAAAATCAATAGGGGTCATCTACTGGTCATGACCAATCATCATACCAAGTTTGAAGTTCCTAGGCCTAAGCGTTCTTTAGTTATTGATCGGAAACAGTTTTTACCTACAAGGTCAATGTGACCTTGACCTTTGACCCCTTGACCCCAAAATCAATAGGGGTCATCTGCTGGTCATGACCAATCACCATACCAAGTTTGAAGTTCCTAGGCCTAAGCGTTCTTTAGTTATTGATCGGAAACCGTTTTTACCTACAAGGTCAATGTGACCTTGACCTTTGACCCCTTGACCCCAAAATCAATAGAGGTCATCTGCTGGTCATGACCAATCACCATACCAAGTTTGAAGTTCCTAGGCCTAAGCGTTCTTTAGTTATTGATCGGAAACCGTTTTTACCTACAAGGTCAATGTGACCTTGACCTTTGACCCCTTGACCCCAAAATCAATAGGGGTCATCTGCTGGTCATGACCAATCACCATACCAAGTTTGAAGTTCCTAGGCCTAAGCGTTCTTTAGTTATTGATCGGAAACTGTTTTTACCTACAAGGTCAATGTGACCTTGACCTTTGACCCCTTGACCCCAAAATCAATAGGGGTCATCTGCTGGTCATGACCAATCACCATACCAAATTTGAAGTTCCTAGGCCTTACTGTTCTTTAGTTATTGATCGGAAACCGTTTTTACCTACAAGGTCAATGTGACCTTGACCTTCCACCCCTTGACCCCAACATCAATAGGGGTCATCTGCTGGTCATGACCAATCACCATACCAAGTTTGAAGTTCCTAGGCCTAAGCGTTCTTTAGTTATTGATCGGAAACCGTTTTTACCTACAAGGTCAATGTGACCTTGACCTTTGACCCCTTGACCCCAAAATCAATAGGGGTCATCTGCTGGTCATGACCAATCACCATACCAAGTTTGAAGTTCCTAGGCCTAAGCGTTCTTTAGTTATTGATCGGAAACCGTTTTTACTTACAAGGTCAATGTGACCTTGACCTTTGACCCATTGACCCCAAAATCAATAGGGGTCATCTACTGGTCATGACCAATCACCATACCAAGTTTGAAGTTCCTAGGCCTAAGCTTTCTTTAGTTATCACTCGGAAACCATTTGGTCTACGGACCAATGGACCGACAAATGCAATGCAATATACCCCCTCTTCTTTGAAGTGGGGGCATAATAAATCATGATGTGGCTGCTAGTAAATCAGCAGCATGAATTCAGTCACAAGTTATTGCTGGTGTTGTCAGAGATTTATAAACAGTTTAGGAAAATTAAATACTTTAACAAATTTAATAGCTGAACTTACTGGGACTTTTTATCAGAATTTGATGCAATATTCTGACAATTTTTAAAAGAAATTTAAGTGATAGTATTTGATGAGCAACGTTTTTTGGTTGTTTTTTTTTCTGTTTTCTTTTAATATCATATAAATTCATGCTGACTTTCATGACAATTCACAAGTATCCAACCACTTGTAAAATAAGGCTAAGGATAGAAATTGTTTTTGTTTTAAAAAAAAATGCTTTTTCTGAATTTATAAAGGGCTATAACTCAGAAATACATTAACTGATAATGATTGCATTTGTAAGCCTCATTACTTTTATTCACATATACATTCTTGCAATTTTCATTAAAATATGTAATACCAATTCTAAGATACGGACAGACTGATGTACAGGCTAAGCCATTTCAATATCTTCCGTAGAGGATAAAAAAATTAAATGAAAACTTTCAAAAAGAGAATTTTTCTGCAAATACCAGTTTGGTCACTAGTGTCTTTTATAGCTGGGTTAGCTCCCCTATCCAATAAGAATTGTACAATATTCAACAGCTCTGGTGACTCACTACGACAGGCTATCATTAATGGTGTCCTCCCTGCAAAATGATAAAACAAAATTAAGTATATAAACTTACAAAGAATAAAAGATTAAACTTAAAAAAAATAACTTAACATAACCATATGTGCAATGAGACCATAGAAGAAAATATCACTGAGATTATCATTTAATGAACAATGGCATGAGTTACATAAATGAAAGAGTCGACTAGAGCATAGAAAAATATCATTCCCTTACCCCTGGATTTTGCCAGGACTGGTTGATTACATCAAAGCAAACAAAGGGAGGTATTCGACCAATCTTGAGTTTGAGCGAACAAACTTTAACTATACATAATTTACATTCATTTAACTATAACACTAGTATACCTGCATTATCTTGTATATTCACAGGACTGCCAGCATCTAGTAACATCTGTACATTTTGTGCTGATTTATTAGCAGCCACATGTAATGCTGTCTCCCCGAACCTGTCCTGAGTATCCACAGCACATCCAAAACTGATCAATATGTACAGGATTTCTTTATTCACTAAATCAAAAAGTGAAGAATCATAATCAATGTTAGTATAACCATCAACATGTTGACTGACAAACATAATAAACTCAATTCATACAGCAAAAATGATTACAAACAGCCATTGTGTCTCTTTCATGAAATTTAAATATAAATACAAATTGATGCCAAGATCTTTTGAAATCAAGCAATTAAAATTTTCCTTATTGTTACAGAGAAAGATAACTTAATAATTGCACAATTAGATTTTCAAATTCTTTTATTTCTTTATTTTCATAATTATACACTCCTGCTGAGTTTCGATCTAACCAACAACAAAATGTAGAAATTTTCCTTTAAAAAAAATGTCTTTATTTACGTAGCTAAGTGCCATAACTGAAGAATTTCATAAATGGATAACTACGGGTGGACTTTGCATCATTTGATTAGCCTAAATTCATTATAAATATATACATTCATGCAAACTTTCATCAAAATCTGACCAAACAGTTGCAACAAATGGAAAAAAAACTTATACACATAAAAATATTCTTAGATATCAAATCTGCTTATAATACAAAATCTGTGCATGTGTAGTTCAAATTAAATGATAAATGAAACTGAACACAATTTGCTCAGGGTAGAGCTGTCATTGGTTCAGATCGAAGAAATATAGATATCTGATATCGGTTAACAAATACACCAAAATATCAATTTATCATCACTTTCAAACTTACTAGTTTTCATGATTTCAGTACACATGTTGGTGATGACATAATATTATTATACCATATCATTCTATCAATGGAAGCTTTAGGTTAGGGGAGCTAAAAACTGTTCAAGCTTTAAAAGTACAAACATATAACCTTCACAGGGGCTGTGACCAGCAGCTATGTGCAAAGGTGATTGCTTGTTGACATTTGTTATGTTGATGTTCAAACCATGATCTAAGAAGCGCTGTAACTGAGATAAATTCTTCATGTTCACACAATTAAACAGCTTATCTTTGTCTCTGTTAAAGATTTCATTTGTTTCATTGTAACAACCATGCTCTTCTACCTCATCCTGAAAATAAAAAAATTCTTAAATACGTCCAAAATTATCAAATGCAGGAATAAAAATTATTATTTTAACCTTTACCACACCAGATTAGTCCAACTACATGTAATTAGACCTGTCAAAGAGACAATAAGATAATTTTGGACAGGAGATGACTTTTTCAATTGTGTGACAGTCTGAAAAAAAAGTCTGTAAAAACTTAAATACATGTAGGTCAAACCGTTCACGGCTATATACACACTAGATATAAATTTGTATACCTTACAGTTATTGATAAAATAATAGGCAAAATTTCAGTATATATACTGACTGAATGGCAAACAGTGCAGATGAACAGGCTGATTTTGGTCTGCATGGGTCACAACTCACATCAGTTGCCACCAGCAGGCAAATTGTTTAAGTGGCCAGGTGACCAATCACCATATACCTGGCCATATTACACACAAGAGTAATTTGAAAGTATCTAATTAAAATGGTAAAACGTTACTGCTGAGTTTCCCCAAATCTAACCATCATTAAATTATGGCAATAAGTCTATGTGAAAATCAAAAGGGTCATTTGAATCCTTATCCTAAATTTGACTATCTGAATATAAGACACTCTTTCGCGAAAATGTATGAGATTTATTAAATCATTAGAAACTACAGTATATTTAAGAAAAATACGAAACAAGTTGTTTCCACTAGTTATAGTGCTTGACTATTCAAGACAAGATATATATAATTATACTTCAATTTCCTGATAGAAATGTTTCTGTTGTTGCTTAAATTTTCTTGACATGTCAGTTGTTGTTGTTGTTAGCCTGATGCATAAACTAAACTGTTGAGTAATTACTTTATATTCATATTTTTGCACAAAAAATTCATGTCTGCGACACAAACTCTAAGTTGTCAAACAGTTAAAAAGTTCTATATATAAATATTAGGGAAATATTTGTAATATGGATATATTTATCTTATGCACCATGTATAGCAGAAAGTAAAATGACGTCACAGGTCAGACTAACTTATAGATTTTCCAAGACTCCAACTCCATTCGTGCAGAATTGACATAAAAACCTCCTACCGGTACTTAAAGCAGAGACATAGATAACATGTACCGGTATCTCTCTGGTTATACTATATAACTACACCTCTTTGGCATGCTATTGAATCAAAAGGAATTACAATGTCTCAATAAAAGATTTCTGAAAATGATTATTGCAAGACTACTGTACAGTTTAAATTTAGTTGATTTTATTAAAGGAAATATAAGAATTTTTGAAAATGTCATTGTGAAAAAAGACATAGTATATGAATGTGACAAAGGTGTGCATGTTCAAATAATTCTGATGGTTGCATTGATCACAAAACAGTATAAGGATCATTTACCTGGTGCCAGGTGGCATTCATGAGAAATGAAGTATGCAGTGCTGATAAACACAATAAATTTCCTGAAAGAGTTTTTTTCATATTTAGACCAGATATTATCATTCGAACCAAATGTTAAAACTTTAGCTTTTAAGTCGCATATAACATTTTCAATGAATAAAACGGATGAATGGTTGAAAGATTAAGACAATACATGACATTATAAAACTGTGTTACTAAGCACTCTGAGGGGTCACTTTGGAAAGGCAACAGTTTAAGGAAATGATGCTGGATGAAAGGAGGATTGAAAAACAGAAAGAAGAAATTAGGAAAAATGACGAACTAGAAAGAAAAAGAGTTGAAAAACTTGAAAAAAATCAAAAATGAGGATTATGACATTATGTTTTATGGTCTTTGGCAAAGTGAAGAAAGACAATGAGTCAGAATAGACCAAAAAAGGCAAATAATTTCAGTTATGATTCAGAACAGATGTTTTTTAAGTTGGGAGATTTAAATTTCAATACAGTTGTAGAAGGAAAAAGACTGTTACAGAATTGAAAAATGATGTTTTAAGTTTAGTTTACAAAGCAAATGAAGTCCCTGTCCTAACAAATTCTCATATTTTGTGGAAAAACATAATATATACATAGGTTTTTAATTCAGATTCATGATGAATATATTTGCAGGTTCATGGTTTTGATGAATGGTTCAATGTAAAATATGAAGAGGAAAATGTCATATACACATGTAAGCTAGCAGAGGAGTTTAATACAGGAGATGTAGAAGTTAAATATTAAGTAAGTAATTCAATTCTGAAAGGATTCTTTTATTGACACAATGTTCAGGAAAATTCTAGCTGTTGAATCAGTGAGTTAGCACATCTTTGGACTGTAATTTATTAAATTATCAGTTAATATATGCTTAATGTCTTCAAATATGACTGCTTCAATGATAGAAAAAATAAATTTACTTGTGTTTCACTATGTTAACATTTCTTTTCAGAAATTAAAGATCTTTTTAAAGTTTTTGTGCTGCCTTGAAAAAGGCAACATATAGGGGTTACTTTTGTCGGCGGCGTCATTGTCGGCGTCTGCATCCCCTTAAGCTTGTCTAGAGCATAAGTGAGTCATTATAAGTCGGATTGACTTCGAACTTGGTATGCTACTTCTTATAATGACCTGAAGTGCAGTGGACAAGAACCAGTACTTTTCATTTCTTATTTTTTGAGTTATTGCCCTTTGTTAATTTTCATACTTTATTTTTGTCCAGGCCATTTCTCCTAAAGTATAAAAGCTATGGACATGAAACTTCATAGGATGATAGATCTCATTAGGAAGAAGTGCAATGCACAAGAACCGGTACTCTGCATTTCTTATTTTTTTAGTTATTGCCCTTTGTTAATTTTCATACTTTATTTTTGTCCAGGCCATTTCTCCTACAGTATAAAAGCTATGGTCTTTTAACTTCATAGGATGATAGATCTCATCATTAAGAAAAATTGCAGTGTACAAGAATCGGTACTCTGCACTTCTTATTTTTGAGTTATTACCCTTGTATTTTCATACTTTATTTTTGTCCAAGCCATTCTCTTAAATTATAAAAGCTATTGACTTGAAACTTCATAGGGTGATAGATCTTATTGATAAGCACAGAAACTGCTGCTTCTTATTTTTTGAGTTATTGCCCTTTCTTAATTTTCATATTTCATTTTTGTCCTGGCCATTTCTCCTAAACTATATTGTACACAAGACGACACATCCGACTCGCAGAGTTCTTGTGGTATATTGCTATCGTGAGGCGACACATGTCATCACTGATGGCCCTTGTATAGTTTTGAAATCATTCTAACTTAATAGGCAATTTTGACAAGCATTCAAAGTTCAAAAAAGGGCATAACTCTAAAAATATTGCTTTTAGATTAATGCCCCTTGTCTTACAACTGCCTCTTGTCATGATAAGCAAGTCTTCCAAGTTTTATGTTGATAGCTTTGAAATTGCTTGAGTAATTGGCTGCAATAAAAAAATTTGCACAGTGACAATGACGATGCTAGCTAAAGTTTTCACTCACTCACTCACTCACTCACTCACTCACTCACTCACTCACTCACTCACTCACTCACTCACTCACTCACTCAACTCACTCAACTCACTCAACTCACCAACACTTACAATAAATGTTTGTTTTTTTCAATCTTGTTATGGTTCTTGCTTGGTTTGAATTTTTCATAAATATATGTTTTTGAGTCAGCAAAGAGAAAAATGACAGCCCTTTAATTTGAATTAGAAAACAAGAGCCATGTAAACATGGCCATCCCTCGCAAAAATGTGTTTGCTCATTGGAAGAATATACTAGTTTATTACCCTTCCAGATTTTTTCCGCCTTTTTGATTGGATATTGATCACCCGAAAGAAATTGATATAACCGAGCCAGACGGGTAATATACACACTAAATTTCCCCGTTTTGTACCCAACGTTGTAAACAACATGCGCTGAGGTGATGCGCGTACGGTTCGATTTTACGCGGTGTAAATTCCGATTTAAAAGCACTTTTTAACTGTCAAATGATCAATATTTACCAAAGTAGAGTAATGATACATATTACCATCAGTATCGAAAACAAATATGACCTTGTGAAAGCTTAATATTAATTACAAAAATGTGCGTTCAATAGACTACTCCTTTTCTCTTGTTTACTTTCGTAAGGTACGGGAAAAATACGTCATGTATTTATATGACGTCATGTTGTGACGAAGAGGTATCCTAAAGGGAATCTTATTTCGACGTTTCATTTGAAACAGCAATGATTTTTTAAAAAAATCGTCTAAACTCGTCAGGGGAAGGGTAATAAAATTATTATTTTGGTTTTGGAGTGATATATGTGGATATATTACCTGCCAAGATAAAATATCACCCTCGCCTAACGGCTCGGGTGATATAAAATCTTAACAGGTAATATATCCACATATATCACTCCAAAACCAAAATAACATATAATATGTAGTAGAGCAGAATAATTCAATTTTAAGAGGTATTTTGGTAATGAAAACTGATGGCTGATTTGATTACAGATTTGAAACCTATGTGAACATGATGGCTTAAAATAACAAAGGGCAATAACTGAAAAATAATGCAGGGTTATCATTCTTGTGTGCTGCACTCCTTCTCAATGAGATCTATCCACATACCGGTATGAAGTTTAAAGTTGATATCTCAAAGCCTTTTTAGTAATGCTCTGGACAAAAAATAATCATGAAAAATAACAAAGGGCAATAACTGAAAAATTATGCAGGGTAGAGTTATCATTCTAGTGTGCTGCACTCCTCCTCAATGAGATCTATCCACCTATAAAGTTTCAAGTTGATACCTCTAACACTTTTTGAGATAAGCTCCGGACAAAAAGTATGAAAAATAACAAAGGGCAATAACTCAAAAATTATGAAGGATAGAGTTATCATTCTTTTGCACTGCACACCTCCTGAGTGAGATATATCCACCTATGAAGTTTCATGTTGATATCTCATAAGCTTTTTGAGTTATGCTCTGGACAAAAATTAAGTTTGAAAAAAATCAAAGGGCAATAAGTGAAAAATTATGCAGGGTAGTATTATCATTCTTGTGCAGTGCACTCCTCCTCAATATGATCTATCCACCTATGAAGTTTCAAGTTGGTACCTTCAATACTTTTTGAAATATGCTCCGGACAAGTTGTTGGACGGAAGGAAGGACGGACGTACGGAGACTATTTCTATATCCCACGCCGCCTTTCGGCGAGGGATAAAAATCCTGAAAGAATCTTAAGCTGGAAACTCGGGGTTTGTACAGTCTTAGAAAGTGCTTAAATTTGAGTCCCTTTCTTAAAAAGTGCTTAAAAATGTAAAAAAGTGCTTAAAAGTCCTTGAATTTGATTACTGTCTTGAAAAGTGCTTAAAAAGTGCTTAAATTTGCTGAAAATATGCTTGAAAATGATTGAATGACATAGTGTCGATAAAAATCAACAGTTAACAAAATAAAAAAAAAATGATCCAATTTAGTATCAAAATCAATGAAATGTTTGCTCAAGGTAACAGTAAGTGGACAAATTGCACTTGTTTTGAACTAATTTGTATTTGATGCACCCTTTGTTTCTTCTATAAAACCTTAAAATTTTGGCCAGAAAATGTGTATAATTCAAGAAAAAATAGTGAATAAACTATCATTCTTAGGTTGAATATTGTTTTGATATATGTGCAACAAATGTGCTTAAAAAATGGGAAAACATGCTTAAATAGTGCTTAAAAAGTCCTTGAATTTTGGCATTGGATGTCTGTATGAACCCTGAAACTAATCCTTTTCTAGTATAATAAAAGCCTTAAGTTATAGTTTCATCTTGGGATTACCTAATTTTAGTATTATATCAGATGGTGTTGTGTATCTTTAATGTATAGGTATTACTTTTTTCCAGGTTTAATAATGCTTCTGTTTTGCTGTCAAGTTTTTATTTTACCACCCTCTCTCTCTCCCTTTGATCGAGAGTAAATCAAGTATTCTCTTATATAACAAAACAAAGACAAACATAGGAATGACACTATAATAAAGTTTTTATTTCTTTAATCTTTAGTTTATGACTGTACAACAAAAGATCACAATTGATGATAAAATTCTTGTTACCAAAACTCCCTACCTTAGACTAAAAATTGATTATGTAGTTACTAAGATTTCAATTTATTTATATTGATATAAGTGAAAAACCATATTGCCACCAGAGATATAAGACCTTGAGATTTTAATGATATTATCATAGATTTTTTTGTGTGAATAAAGAAGTGTTTGCATTTCAAAATCCAATACCAATAAATATAAGGCAGATATTTCCTTTCCAATATAAGTACTATTTAGATATTAGATAGAGTTAAAATTACAGGTGCGTGATATAGGGAAACAGATTTTATTGAGTATTTTTTTGTAAAGATCTTTACAAACATTTGCTTGTATTATACATTTACTTACTTTTGGACTTGAAAGCATATTTTTGTATAGCTGTAAAATTTTATTCAACCTTTTACACTGTTAAGTTTTATTCAATCGTTTACACATTTAGACCTTTTAAAGTCTCCCCATTAAGTGGAATTAAAATTTCTTTACATTTTATATAGTCAATAAAAAAAGTGTGTTCTTTTACCTTGGTTTATTGATAACATAGATATCTGTAGGAATAAAGGTTGTTGGGATTAACTACATTTTCACTGGTAATCATAATAACTTTTTGTGTTTGTTATTATTTGATGATTGTTTTAGATACTGGTAGGTTAGATAATTAGATTACTATTTTTCATGGAAGTTACAGTCTTTTTAACATTTAACCTGATTTTTGGAAAAAGGGATAGCCCCCTTAGGGCCCGGACCTTTGGGTCTTTTTTTTTTTTTTACTGTTAAAAAATATCTCTTTTTTTTGATTTTGGGTATTTTAAAAAAACCCAAATTAAAAGTAATGGACTGTTTCAATTTAAAGTAAGATAAATGCTGTACCTTAATTCAGCAGTTTGAGGAATAACAAGATTATTTGATATTTCTTTTAACCACTGATAGTACATCTTGCTATTTGAATTATTATATAATCATTACAGTTTGGCCCTAAGGATGTTGTTTATTTTATAGATTATGTTTTTCCTATTTTTTTTCTGAGGAATCAAATTCATATTTGTCATAGTCTTTACTCATGAATCAAATTCATATATTAATTGTTTTAACTGATGTACCTGTTAAAAAATTTGTAGTCTTTACTGATAAAGGAAATTCATATTTTCATAGTCTTTATACATGAATTGAATTCATGTATTCATAGTCTTTACTAATATGTGAAAATGGTATACACTAAGTCTTTACTAATAAATCAAATCGATCACATATTCATAGTCTTCACTAATAAATCAAATTCATATGTTCATTGTCTTTACTGATAAATTAAAGTTATATTTTCATAGTCTTTACTGATAAATCAAAGTTATATTTTCATAGTCTTTACTGATAAATCAAAGTTATACTTTCATAGTCTTTACTCATGAAGTAAATTCATATATTCATAGTCTTGTTTGATAAATCAAGTTTATTATACCCCTGAACACTGTGTCAAAAATATTTGGATATTAGTAAAATGATATATATATTTTGAACATGGTTGGTATTTTCAAATTTTAATGGATAAATTTTGTAATATAAATGATGTAAGCTATTCCCTATTTGATTATGTAATTCTTTGGAACAAAATTCATTCCTATTCAATACTGCATTCCCAGGGGATGTCAAACAATGGTTCATCACCCCTGTCACTGTCATAGTGATGTAAGGGTGTTATTTATCACCACCTGAGTATTACCTCTAGTAACTAACATTGTGCACTGATGTAATAAAATATAATTCTATTTTCAGTAACAGTTGTTGACAATTAAAAAAGATGAGACAGACAAAGTAGAAGGTAGGTCACAACTAACTTATAATCATTTTGAAACCAGAATCAGGTTACTTAGAAGGGGTATATGCAACTTTATCCGGAAGATGTCTAGCCTCTTGATTTTAGGGTACAGACTATTGGTAAAATTGCTAATTTGGGATGTAAAAAAGCAGATCTTCGGGAAAACTGCATGATGTTAAAAAAATCAATTTTATAGGCCACTAGCTGATATATAACGTGGAGAATCTGTTATATGCTTTTCAACTGCAAAAATTCATTTCATTATTGTAAAAGACAGATATTTGCTAAAAAAACACAACTTTTAGCACTTACAAGGGTTGACCAGCCTCAGCCTTGACATGTTTTGATATCACATAAAGAGTTGTTTTGTGTTGGATAACCTTTCACATTGAATAACTTTAAAACTTACCTTTTAATTGTATGCTATAGCTATCAAATTTTGACCTTGATAAGGCACAGATTTGTATATGGTATTGAACGTTGACCTTATATGGTCACATTTCCTTAGCAGGTGACTTATGTAAACAAATTTTATCTTCAATTCTCAACTTCTTGTAACATTGGAAGAAAATTTGACCTTGGCTGACTTTATTTTCCAGTTACAGCTTTAAAAAATTCATGACCTTTCCTAGCAATTGATCTCAGGTGGGCAATCTCTGGCCAACATGGTTGTCTTGTTTTTCCATACTTTTATCATGTAAGCAAAACTTTTATTTTAAAATAAAATGTCAAATTCCCATTCATGCTCTGTTTTTGTTTGGAATATAGCTAATAGCTAGTTCTAGAATAAGATACAGAGGAATTCAGAAAGCTTAGCATCATGGTCTAGATCAATATTTTAGCCAAGGAATACAGAGCATAGATTTATACCATTGATAAGGTTAATCTCCAAGAATTGTGGGGGACATCATAAATCAGGGAAAACATAAAAGTGCTGTTACATTAATAGTTATGATAAACTTCTTAGAGTGTCTTCCATGCTCAACAGCTCACAATAATTAAGTGGTATATAAGAAAGCCAATAATTCTAATCTAAGCATTTGAGTAATTGTAGGCATAGATTTAGTGGAATATATGTGATTTGCTGTGATTTTTTATTTGCCTTTTTTAGGTGGAAAATGAATTTTTATTTAACAAAGCAAGTTAATGATAAAATTTATATCTTCGGTCATAGAGGATATACATGTAGATTTACGGTTGCTCTTGTGTCCTGACAAGCTCACAGTATTCCTAGATTTTCCTACCTTTTCATAGTTTTTAAAGAGGTAAATGGCCAAATGTTCGAATTGTACTTGATTTTTGCTATTATTGTCTATAAGCATAAAACTTTGTTATTTATGAATAGATTGTATTCATTCTTTGACAAAAGAATCCTTTTGACAAGACCATCAAGTTGACCAAATTGATTATGACCTTCACTTATCATTGACCTTGATTTTAATGGTCAAATTGAATTTTGCTTGATATTTGCTATGATAGGCTTTCACTTTGCTATTTGTGAATGAACTGTCTTCATACTCAAGCACAACTACATGAAGGACAATGATTTAAAAATGATCAAACTCAATTTGACCTTTAGACTAAAGGTCAAATTAGTGAATTATGCTAAAAATGGCCATATCTTTGTTATTTTTAACCAGGTTTTCCGAAGGAAAAAACTGGTTATTAGATTGAGGTATGTCGGCGGGCGGGCGGACGGGCGGGCGTAAACAATTTCTTCTGTGCGCAACTCCTTCTACATTTCTCAACGGATTTTGACCAAACTTTCACAGAAGCTTAGTTATCAAGTGCCCTGGCGCATATTGTCCGGGTTTTGCGATTGGATAATATTTGACCTAATTATGGCCCTTTGTTTTTTTTCCTTATATAGAATATATAGTGAACAATTTCTTTCGTGCGCAACTCCTCCTGCATTTCTCAACAGATTTTGACCAAACTTTCACAGAAGCTTTGTCATCAAGTGCCCTGGGGCATATTGTCAGGGTTTTTTGAATGGATAATATTTGACCTAATTATGGCCCTTTGTTTTTTTTTCCTTATATAGAATATATAGTGAACAATTTCTTCTGTGCGAAACTCCTCCTACATTTCTCAACAGATTTTGACCAAACTTTCACAGAAGCTTTGTCATCAAGTGCCCTGGGGCATATTGTCGGGGTTTTGCGATTAGATAATATTTGACTTAATTATGGCCCTTTGTTTTTTTTCCTTATATAGAATATAGTGAACAATTTCTTCTGTGCTGAACTCCTCCTACAATTTTCTCAACGGATTTTGACCAAACTTTCACAGAAGCTTTGTAAGCAAGTGCCCTGGCGCATATTGTCGGGGTTTTGTGATTGGATAATATTTGACCTAATTATGGCCCTTTTTTTTATTCCTTATATAGAATATATAGTGAACAATTTCTTTCGTGCGCAACTCCTCCTACATTTCTCAACAGATTTTGACCAAACTTTCTCAGAAGCTTAGTCATCAAGTGCCCTGGCACATATTGTCTGGGTTTTGTGATTGGATAATATTTGACCTAATTATGGTCCTTTGTTTTTTAGCTCATCTGTCACAAAGTGACAGGGTGAGCTTTTGTGATCGCTTTTCGTCCGGCGTCCGTCCGTCCTTTCGGCGTCCGGCCGTCGTCCGTCCGTAAACTTTTACTTTAAATGACATCTCCTCATAAACCACTGAGCCTATTTCATCCAAACTTCACAGGAATGTTCCTTTGGTGGTCACCTTTAAAAATTGTTCAAAGAATTTAATTCCATGCAGAACTCTGGTTGCCATGGCAACCGAAAGAAAAAACTTTAAATATCTTCTTTTAAAAAACCATAAGAGCTAGAGCTTAGATATTTGGCATGAAACATGTTCTAGTGAGTGCCTACCAAGTTTGTTCAAATAAAAGCCCTGGGGTCAAAATTGGCCCCGCCCCGGGGGGTCATTGATTTTCCCTATATGCATATAGTAAAAACTTAAAAAATCTTCTTTTAAAGAACTCAAAGAGCTATGGCTAAGATATTGAGCATCAAACATGTTCTAATAGGTGTCTACCAAGTTTGTTCAAATAAAAGCCCTGGGGTCAAAATTGGCCCCACCCCGGGGGGTCATTGATTTTCCCTATATGCATATAGTAAAAACTTAAAAAATCTTCTTTTAAAGAACCCAAAGAGCTAGAGCTAGGATATTTAGCATGAAACATGTTCTAATGGCAGTCTACCAAGTTTGTTCAAATAAAAGCCCTGGGGTCAAAATTGGCCCCGCCCAGGGGGGTCATTGATTTTCCCTATATGCATATAGTTAAAACTTAAAAAATCTTCTTTTAAAGAACCCAAAGAGCTAGAGCTAGGATATTTAGCATGAAACATGTTCTAATAGGTGTCTACCAAGTTTGTTCAAATAAAAGCCCTGGGGTCAAAATTGGCCCCGCCCCAGGGGGTCATTGATTTTCCCTATATGCACATAGTAAAAACTTAAAAAATCTTCTTTTAAAGAATCAAAAGAGTTAGAGCTAAGATATTTAGCATGAAACATGTTCTAATAAGTGTCTACCAAGTTTGTTCAAATAAAAGCCCTGGGGTTAAAATTGGCACCGCCCCGGGGGTCATTGATTTTCCTTATATGTGTATAGCAAAAACTTAAAAAATCTTCTTTGAAAAAACCCAAATAGCTAGAGTTTAGATATTAAGCATGAAACATCTTCTAGTAAGTGTCTACAAAGTTTGTTCAAATAAAAGCCCTGGGGTCAAAACTGGCCCCGCCCCAAGGGTGTCATTGTTTTTAACTATATGTGTATAGTAAAAACTTTAAATAAATCTTCTTTTAAAAAGCCCAATGAGCTAGAGCTTAGATGTTTATCATGAAACATTTTCTTATGGGTGTCTACCAAGTTTGTGCAATAAAAGCCCCTGGGTTAAATTGGCCCTGCAACGTTGGGGGGGGGGGGGGGGGCCTATATACAGGTGAGTGACCTCAGGGCCATCATGGCCCTCTTGTTTTAAAAAGACATAGACCTTCTCAAGTAAAGTTTTAGAAAAAGTTTAAAAAGAATTCTTAGAAATGTTTTAGGCAGTAAGATGTGTATACAGTTTTATTTTTTTTATTTCATACATTATGACAGACAGTATAAGATTATAAATATCATGTCACATATTAGTTGATAATTCGTATGAAAGTATAACTGAAAGACCCTCAAATGTGTAGTGAAAAGTTAAAAACTTGGTTAAATTCACTTTGTGTTATTTGAAACTAAAAAGTTACAGAAAGAATGATGACAGGCATATATTTTAACATCTGAGTCAGTTTGATACAAACAAGCAGTATAATTATGATCATTAAAAACTTAATTTGTAACACTGTCACTGTTTTTGACCCCTTATTATTGGCTAACCAACATTCTGTAAAGAAGCTTGCCTATATGGAAGTTTGCTACATTGTTTCTTGCCCTTTGTTGAAGAGAAAGCTGGTAGCATTTTAATGCATGTTGAGGTCTGTTTTTTTGTTCCATACATTGCCCTAAAATGTTAAGAGCAGTTTCTCTATGTCCAAGGTTTCTATCTGTTGCTATGGTTCTTATAAGTTTACCAAGTGCTTGTTGTTGATCTTGATGTCTTTGTAGATGACGATAGATCTTATATTGTAGAAAGTACAGGTAAGGTAGAGAATCAACTACAGCCCAGTCCATCCATTTGTCTGCATGCTGATGTCTGTGTATCATGTCATCTTGTGTAGATCTGAACATTTCATATTGTAGTTCATGAGGAACACAGTTGATCTCTTCCTTTATAAATTTGACACAAAATGCTGTTATATGTTTAATACAGTCCTCACTTTGTTCACCACATACCCTCCTATATTCTGCTGTTGGTGCTGATGGAGGTGTATGCCAGCAGTTACAGGTAGGTATAACAGGGTTAGAGTAATACTGTTGTTCAGTGTGTCTTAGAATCAGTTCAGCTTCCTCCATATATTCTGTACTGTAAAGCACTGAAGCCAATTTGAGTCTGCTAGATGAGATATCTGAGTTTAAACCAGCTGATAGCCAAACCAATGCTTCAGGTGATACTTGATTGTTTTCACTAATACTAGATGATGCCAGGATAGATCCATATGTGGTATAAACACAAGGTGATAGAAACTTGAATGCAGCCTGTTCTAATCTGTTACCATTAATATTGAAAGTAATAAGTTTACCAATACAATGCTTCATTGTTCTAATGTTTTTATTTTGTAAATGTTTTAAAACAAGCTTATGATTTACGCTTGTAAGGTATGCTTTGTTTAAATATTCTGAGGTCATAAAATGTTCATTCAATTCAATAGAAGATTGATAATAATATGCTCCATTTGGTACCATGTTCAGTTTAACTTGCAGTCTATGACCAAGATCATCAATATCAATTGTAAGTAACTTTTGTCTGTCATTCTGTAAAAAATCACTTATTTTTTTTAAAAGTTCATTTTTTTTTTCAGCTGTAAATTGCCCTGCCATCAAATTATTTTCTCTGATAATGAAATGTGAACAACGGTCATTCTGTACACAGCTATGTAATTCTAATAAGCAGTATGTTAAGCATATAAATAAATTGTTCTCTGTCCATATACTTGACTCTGTGTTTTCTATACAGTGTAATAGAACTGTTTTACACATGAAACTTGATATATTGATTTCATCCTGAGGATTAAGGAAGGATTTAAGAATCATTTTCAATAATACATAGCACCTTATTTGTGTTATATTTAGGTTAAACATAAGACACCTTTCTGCCAGTGATGTAGATATTCTCCATTCCAGATCAGGATATACACTGACCTTACTTCCAGTTGCAACAACAAAACACCCAGTACTAGCTGCATATCTTCTCATGTCTTGTGTTGGCCATCTGCCAATACCTTGTCTATCTAACCAATCTGATGCTGATTGATGCAATGATTTACAGGGTAAAGATGGCACAATGTCTGTATCAGATAGTCCAGGTCGTCCTTGTTTAGCAAGTGATGGTCCATGATCTACAGCACCCTGAATGGCACCATTAAATATTGTATTTTTTAACAATATTTTTCCACTTCTATCAGTTATATGGTGTTCATCAGGAATGACAGTGGCAGGAAGAGGTACATCATGTCGGAGCAGTTGTAAGAAACAATAACCAGGGGTAGTGTTCTCATCCTGTATCATGAGGTAGTTTCTCTTGCCATGTTCCCACTCTGACCAGTCTTGTATTATATTGTAATCATGGGAACAGACTAGTATATCAAAGTCTGAAAGAAGTCCTATAGTAGTTGTACCTTCACTCTGACTCCCTAGATAATATACAGTCATGTTTGTATCAGTTAACCTGTTAGTGATATTATCCATAGTCTCCATCAGCATGGAATGTCTTCTTCTTCTCATCACTATTCTTTCATTGACACCAATGTCATCTAAAACCTCTGATAACATCAATGATAGGTTTTCTCTGTAGTCATGTTCTTGAAACATTCTGTAATATATTAGTAAAAGGAAAAATGTTGAAGTCACTCACTAAATTTATTTTGTCACATACTTTTATTTGTTGCTTATTTGCCCTTGATGTCCTAGAACAGAAAGGACAAGCATGTATTGATATTATGAAATTTTTAAGGTAGATATCAATTAAATAATAATAATATTGATAACAATAATAATAATAATAATAATGATATTAATGATAATAATATTAATGATAATAATAAGGATATTGTATAGATTTGATCCTTTATCTACATGTATTTGTTTGTTATTTAACTTTATTATTTGAATCAGGTTTTATTTTCTGAATATTTATTTTTTAAACTTTATTGATGCAAATTTTTACTTAAAGTTTCTGTTATTGTAGATTTACTTCCACTACGTTGTGACTTAACTACTATAAAAAATCGTTTTTTCCCTCTGTTTTTGTATTAAAAAAAAAAGAAAAAAAAGATAAATAACTCACTTTTAACGTTTATCAGTAGTTAATTGAATTATGTCCCTTAAAATAGTTTTAGGTTTTTGCATTTCAGAGTAACATTTATGATAATTATTCAAGGCTTTGATACATCAATATATGGTTTATAAGTTTGATAAATTTTCAGTGTTTTTTTTTTTAAAATTAACATTATATTACATTGTAACTTGAAGCAGACGCTTAACTTGGAAGCTACTTGAATCAAACACTAACTAAATTAATAATATAATATTAATATTGCATCCAATAAATTTCTGAAATTATTTATTTACTCAAATGTGAAATTGTGTTTAAAAAGATAAATTTTAAACTTACTTTGAAAGTTATATTTGACACTATGTTTTAAACTTTCTGTTTGACAAGGTTGTAAGTTGGAAAGTTTACTATTTTTACTTCCTCTTTTGGTTTTGAATGAAAATATAAAGGGGAGTTTATCATGTCATTACATTGATTTCTGTTGATAAAGTGCATGCCTGATAAACCTAGCTTTATCAGTCACCCCAAGCTTTATCAGACACCTCATCAAAAATATGCAAAATTTGCGAAATGAAATAAAAAGAATGGAATATATTTTCCTGCTACTGGGTTGGAAATATTTAACTGATAAACTTTGAATCGAATAGAAATTTTGAATATGAACGCGTCACTTACAATTAACTAAAACATTTGGGACTATTTCTTTTTGATTTGGCATTTCACATATTATTGCGCGCCGTCTGAACACGAGAGGTTCTGGATAGGGTTTTGCTTCAATTAAAATAAAAAAAATCAAACAACAATTGAAATTGAAAACATGATAAATAGAATACCAAACAAGTGTCTAATATTATAAAATTTATCAGGCTCGGCACGAAAAAAAAGGAGAGCTCGGCACAGCCTCGCCCTTCTTTTTTTTTCTTAGCCTTGCCTGATAAATTTTATAATATCAGACACTAGCATGGTATTCTCTATAACTCACTTCATAAAATTTAATTTGACTTTTTTCCCCTGCTTAAATTTATTTTTGCTTATTTTAAGAGAAAAATTATATAGGTATACAAAATAATTATATGGCTTTATCTCTTTTGATAAAATGTGTCATATATCTTTTAAGAATATGGTGATTAATTTTAATTGTACATTAATTTACATGCAATATTCTTTAAAAACATGTCTTAATAAATTCTGTACTGTATAAATAAACTTTATTCTGTATCACTAGAAATGATACAAAAACTTGTCAAGAGTTTGAATAAATTATTTCATTTTAGATACAATACGTTCACAAACCTATAATCAGTGTACTTGTATGTTTTTCTAAAGTGTATATAAGTATCTGAAGAAAAATACTTAAAGCTTTTGGGTAATACATGTACATTGAACATTTAAATTAGCCTTAAAACACACAAAACTTTTGGGTAAGACATGTACACAGCCTTCTTTTTGGCCATATATTTTTCAGGCACTTGTTTTTAATATATAACCATATAGAATAAACATAATTACTCTAATGAAATGATTAAAGGGAGACACAGGCAAAATGTTTATGTCTTAGTTTTGGATTTTTCATTCATTATTCTGTAAATGCACCCAAAATGAATACATTAGACAGTCAAAAGAACAAAACTTTTCTCCATATAAAGAATAAAATGGTGGTTTCCTAACTTGACCCGCGTGGGTCAGGTTAGAGCAATGGGATTTCACAATTGTTGTCACGGTGAACTCTGGAAACGTTAAAGAACATGTCAAATGAATGACTTAGACTTGTTTCAATCCTACAATATCCACAATATCTGTTATTGTAACTTCAAGGGTTTATTCAAGTGACATGACTTGTTTTAAAACTTATTCGGTGATTTTATTGGCGTCTAAATTTTGTTCAATAAAATAGATATATTTACGCTTCAAACCCAAAATATGTAGAATTTAAACAGAAATTCATGCTGGAACTTTAAGAAATGTCATTTTAGCGTGATTTGAGTACATTAGATCATTTTGATAGTTTTGTCATTATTTTGCCTGAATATCCCTTTAAAGTGTAATTGAAGAAATATATATTTATTGCAATAAATGTTTCTTCTTACAGTCGACTCGTTATCTCGAAGTCATCCGGGACCATCCAAAAATATCGAGATAACGAAATGTTGAGATAAACATTTTAGGGTTTGAACAAAGCAGAAACTGATTTTTACAAAATACATGTGGATACCTTATGTCAAATAAACTATGATATCCCCATGTCTTGTTTTCATAAGCCTAGTCAATATCTAACAAAGTAACATTAACGGATGTTTACCAGCGGAAATACTGGTGTCTGTGATATAAACACATAGTGAGGTTTACCCAGTAATACACCAATATAGTGAAAACATCGTTTTCAGGGTGGTTGATCCGGATATCCTCCCGGGTTAGTTATCGCGTCTTTCTCGAGATTGTTTGACCGCTGATTGATTTGTTGATGTTGTGAAACAATATTGCAACGATAACGTTTCTATACTTTCACTATTTCATTTACATTTAAAGTCATAATGAAGTGAGTGTGTGTGTGTGTGTTGGGTTTATTTACCCTCGCCACCGGTATAAAACCATATGTGCGAGCATATGCTTCATTTATTATAGGGAAAAAACTGTATTTAGTTAATATCTGCATATGTGACTAGTGAGTACAATATTTCCTGCCCCAAATATGCAAATAATTGCCGTAGATGAAGCCGGAAAAAGGTGGGATTATAACCCACACTTAGATTAAAAACTGTATTTAAAACTTAAACTTAAATCACAAAAAGGGGGAAGACGCTTATAAGCGTACGCCTTCTATATTGGGACCAAAAAAAACCCTAATAACTATGTTTATTGATTGCTTTATTTATTGCAAATCATATTTATAATATTAAAACTAGTATTGAAGGGGGGAAGACGCTTATACGCGTACGCCTTCCTATAACAGGCCAACTCAGTAAATCACTGTAATTCTTTGTTTTTAAAACTTTATTTCACATATGAAAAGGTTTATTGATATAAACCTTAGCAATACCCCTGAGAACATAGCTTTTACCTTTCAATTCAGCCATCATATAGTATAACTTCTTTTAGAGAAGGAGAACAATGCAGAAACGAATTTTGACAGATAGCGCGGAACCACGTTAATAGGTGAATTATGATTGGCCGAAAAATTATGCGATTTGTATAGTTGATTTGGAAGAAATGAAAAGATATGATTGGTCGTTAGTAAAGTTATTCATTGGCGCATTTACTATCCGATTTACTATGATCTTTTAAGAATAACAAATGATATTCAGTAATTATATTGTTATTCTAGACTCTCTATAGACCTATACAAAAGGAATATAGATAGATTTTAAAAAATTTTAGAACGCTGAAATGGCTAATAATTATTAAATTACTTGGTTACCTACAATGTGATGAGTACAGCTTTTTAAAGAAGAAAAAAAAGACTGGCTCATACTTGCTCTACTCAATGAATTAAGGTGTGCTCCATTTCTGTCATTTATGAGTAGATAACAGTGTGAACTGTTGAATGAATTGATACAGTGTTCTAACATTTATAAAGAACATAAAATTCACTCATTTTTGACATAAGTCAATCAACACGCTAATTAGATTAACTGTTTTAATAACAGCTCAACTTGTTACAAACATAATCATCATTATGGCACGCGCTAATGAGCAATTATCGTCTGGTTTGTGTTTTCCACATGTCTGAAGGGAACAGACGAAATAAAACTATTAGTCGAGATAAACAAAGGATAATAGTGTGAAAATAACTGTTGGGGCTGAAATTTTACATCTAGATACTGAAAATATCGAAATAAAAATATCGAGATAAACAGATATTTTCAATATAGATAAAGAAGGAAGAAAATCGGGTCTTTCAAAATTTCATCGAGATAACGAAATATCGAGAAAAGCGATGTCATGATAACGATAGTTGACTGTATGTTAGTTTTTAGGAGAATCGACTTTGTCTTGAAGTTAAGTCTTGATTTTCTCTCCTATTTAACAAATTAACTGAGTTTTATTGGATGAAAGAGTTGTAAGTCACTAACTGAATATATTTGGCTTTGAGAATATGCATTATCTATCAGTCTATTAAAAAGTTTAAGGCAGCATGCTTTTGAGATTAAGTTAAAACCTCAGGGAAACTTTGGGACAGGGATATAAACTTTAAAATACTGACGGAAAATTGAAACATTACGTTTGAAGGGAAAACATCAAATAATAAGTGTTAACAATTTAATTTGAAATTGAAAGTGTTAAATAATTTTATTGATGAATATGAATTCTAATGGTATATATTTAATTCTTCACAATTGAATTTGTTTTGTTTGTAGTTATGATGATAATATGTGACAGCTATGTGACACACTGAGTGATAATATGTGACAATTTTGATGAAAATAGGTGACACTGTTGGTACAATTAATTATATGGTGTTGAATGGACTAAGTGATATCCTTAGTGATAGCTTTAATTGGTATTTTAATTTAGATATTGATAAATAATTGAATGATATTAGCTATCATCAAAGTATATCTCAAATTTTTTAAATATGATATGTATCACACTTGGTGAAAATATTTGATAATTTGTGACACTTGTTGCAATGAAATGTGACACTGTGTGATAGAATGTGACACTCTTTATGATGCTATGGAGTCTAAGTAATGCTATTAAATAAATTTTAGTAATGCTAGTAGACAATCTTTGTGAAAATATGTAATATTCATGGAGAAAATATGTGCCAACACTCTTGTATTAGATAAATTAAGCACGAAGTGTTAATTGAAGTGGCCTCCAGCTTTCCATATTATTTTTTTTTTGATAAATTGTTTCATATATTGTCAAATCAAAAGAATTAAGGTGGAAAATACCCCTTGATACATGTAATCTACTGGTTTGCTCTTTTTTTTAAATTACCAAAGCAGACAAGTTGTTTCCTGGTATTCTTTTTTAGACAAAAGGCCAATTATGTGTTATAAATAGCTCTTGGGATGCTGTTTCAAGAAGGCTTAACAGTGATTTGATGCACTTTTCCACAATAAAATTACTGAAATACTTAGTTATTGTTTTTTCCAACAGAAAAAAAAACAAAACAGAATGCTGCTTTAATGACATTCTTAGTGATAATATGCTATACTTCTGTGTACTGCAGTAAAACTGTGAAAGACTAAATCTTTACTTTATTAAGACTTGATGGTATATGGTATTTTTTCATATATGTAAAATTTGTTTGAAAATCAGTTTTATCATTGTAACAGATGTCCCATTCGTGTTTAAATATTAAGATATTATTATAGAGTGTTTGCAGGGGCGTATCACGTTGGAGGGGGGGGGGCAGGATCTGACCCACAAGTGTCTGTGCTGCATG